CAAATCTGAGTCACACATATATCAGTGTTTGAGATGTCGTGGTTTCCTGGCTGAGTGATTTAGTTTTAAAGCATTGATTGTCCTTCAGTAAAACATCGTCGAAATATAGTTCAAAGGAAAGTGGTTAATTAGAGTTTCTCAAAACTGACCCACAGCTTGTTCTATTGACCTGTAATTTGGCTGGTTGTACATAATTCTGTGGCTCTTGTTTACATCCTTGTTTTTGTTTGTTTTTCCTTCTGATTTAAGTTCTCGCCAAGGAGTTGTTAATGCTTTTTTTATTGGCTGACATATCAGGTCGACCTTGATGCACATACTGACTGACCCTAATAAGAAATGTTAGACGGATAACGATCCCCTAGCTTTCTCCGTGTTCTCCGCCACAAATATTTCAGTGTTTTCGCAGCCATACTTTGACACAGCAGACCGATCAAGAATCACTAAGTGATTTGTCATGTAATAACTCTTCCAAAGGATGAGTAACAAACAACCAACTGGTGAGCTTATTCTTTGAGGAAGAAACGCGTGATAATATCGGTTGGTCAAGTAAATTTCCCTCCTGTCGAGTAGTCGAGCTTCTATATGGCAACAATTGGCATCAGTATAAGCCCTCGGATGTGTTCGTGCTCATCCATGGGCGTTGAATCAAGTGAAGTTGTTTAATGACCAAATAGTGTCTATGTGGATGTAGAGAGAGAGTAACCACCACGTCTTAAATGGTTTTCGACAGAGTAGATGCTTTTGAAATTACTTTTTGTTTGATCGCTTCTACACTCTGTTGGTTCTTCGATCCTTATTTGGTTGGTGGTTGGTTATAAATAATTTTTTGCAAGGTGCGATTAAGTAAATGCCTTTTGTTCAACAAACTTTACGATCGTTTTTATCCAGTTACTGTGTAGTGTGAATATTGATATTGTATTCAACTGCAATTTCAATTCTTGAGCAATACTTTTTTCTTTGTTCGAAATTCTCAACTGTGTTCTGTTTCAAAATGTCTGGGGGCTTAGTGTTCATATAACGCCCTATATCTCCATTTAACCACTCCAAACGTTTGCTAGGAGAATAAACATAGTTCTTTACCACTGCTGCTATAATGTGTCTTGAAGATGATGTTAACCTTGTCTTCATTTTTTGATATACATAGCACTGTTTGCAACAACTTTATGGGCTTGTGAGATACGTCTTTTCGTAGTGTTTGTGTGGACTAATGATTCTTCTGTACTCAATGATTTTGAATTCCACATACAATCCGTTCGTTTGTGCTCACCTAGTTCTACTTGACTTAAGTTGCTTTATTTTTGATGATTCTTAGTTAGAATAATAATATAAATATTTTTAATCATCACACTTTTCCTAACTACTTGATCAGTCCACCTATCTACTGGTGGAAGCCGTACAGGCAGGCCATAACTTTTCGTTTGATGATTCTTGAGATTGCTTTCGTATTCCATGGTTGGTAGTCTAAAAGTTTTTTAAAGATATTCTGAGGGTGACTATCATTTTCAAATGAGTAATTAAGGCTTTCCATTCATTTCACAATGTGAAGGCGGTAATGTGGCTTTACTCCAATGTATTGCAACAAAGTGTACGCACTGAAGACCACTTTACTGTGATTCGGATAATGAGCTTGGGAACGGAAAAATCACTTATCATCCCAAACAGACATCATATTGATCACAGCTCGGTGCGCAGTGTGGAAATTCAGAATTCATCTAACGCCTCTCAGATTCAGTAGACACACTTTAGACTCTACAATGAGGTCAATTCCTATATTATCCTTTAAATGCTATGATTTCACATTTGTAATATCAAGATTAACATTTCAAGGAAAATAAAAATAATTAACTGTGATTGATATCAAAAGCTGTCTTATCCTAAATAATGATGTTTGACTGCAGAGTTGGCGTGTAAACAAAGAGAGAATGTCAACTGCGTGTATTAGCGTAGAATCAGAGAACAGCAATTTTCAAAAAATATTTCGCAAAAATTATTCTAGAACCACACGGCCTACAAGTCTGGCGCGACTTCGTTGATAGCTAATTAATAAATGGAAATAACCAGTTTTCCACTACTATATTAGAATATTTAAATACTTCACAGGGTAGGAACTGTGTATTCAGCTGTTGGTAGACAACCACAATGACAAATCTGACAACCGTGATCAAATCAAGCTTGAACGACTGTGCAGCGGGTCTAGCTGTCTCGACAGACTAGTCTCTCCTTCGCTGCTTCAACAGATGCTTACACATATATTTTCTAGCAAACATAAAGCCTGAGAATAAACCACCGCATCCACGCGAAGTTGCTTGTTAGGACGGTCAAAAGCAACGTTACATATTCCAGTATTTTTGAGGTTCTATTTTCACGAATCATACATTCAATTACCTCTATCTCGTATCCATATTGCTTATTCTTATACTTAAAAGAACGAAAAACCACTGTAATTTCCACGACGAGAAACGAGAACATCATCTCTGGTACAAGTGAAGATTCATTGGGCTGAAAACACGACAACAATCGAAAGTACACTCAAAATACATTGATTGGTCACATATTGTTTATTATTATGAATGTACAAAACTTATCGAGTTATAATAAGATCACATGCTGTCTATCATGCTGAGCGTAGTTCACGCTGATTTTATACAAGAATATCACATCTTGAAATGACATCACACTCAAAAAGTTAATATTATATCAAATAAAGTATCACACAGGAAAACAAAAAATCAGCACTTTGAATAGCCATCATATATATAGTTAATGATGGAAGTAATGCCGAGTAAGAATCAAAATGAAATAAAAATGTGGTTTCGCCTACTCATCCCGTTACATCACTCTGTTACTTTTCTCATCCACAGCTTTCGTCTAGTGTGCTTCCTCCAATAGTCTTACACTTCACTTTTAGTCTATTGAATAGGATGCATATTCACGTCATTTACACCAGTACTTACACCATAACTACAAGAATGATTGGCAGAGGTAGAGTTAGTAATTAGCCAGGAATCCTCGTTTCTAGCAACAGGATTATAAGAAGGCTCAAAAAGATGCTAGACAAAGAATCTCAGAATAATGTATACGATGTGGATCACTCAACTCAGTCACCAAAACTGAATTTTCAACAAGGTAGTTAGGGTCACGATCCTTCCAAGGTTCCTGCTCCTAGTAAGACGAGTAAACAGGATAGAACTGGGAGAAAAGAGCATCCTAAACTGCTCGTGACACAGACTACTGAGGAAAACAACATACCAGTGATGATTGTATCGCATCCTCATCTCTCTCTAAAATCAGCGACTCAGAGTGGGAATGTAACTGTCGTAGACGCAAAGTTCACTTCAGTATCTAAACAATATTGTGGATTTGTGTTAAGTTACTTTTGTTTGTGGTTTCAATATGTTTGTCTACAATGTAGAATAAATATACCGACTGAACAAATATCAGTGTCATAAGACTCCACTGGAAACAGCTGTGACAATCCCCACCAGTATATCCAACTCTGGAAGCCACAACCCGAGCTCATGCATTAATGAAACTTCCGATTGTAGCTATTACTACAGTATCTGCTAACAGTTTGGAGCGGTGCGTGAATGATAGGAAAAGAATTGGTGAAAGCACAGCTCAGGACATGTTATGGAAGAAATTGTACTGACATCCCACACAGAATTGGCCAAGAGATCATCTCAAATCCGAGTTAGACACAAAAAACCGTGGGACATAAGAAGTGTCGAAAGAAGATCAGAAAACACCCAAAAACTAACCAGCATGGTTCAGAGAGTGCTTGAGCTAGTGTATGCTAGTTGGGGTGAAGCTCATGAACACCATCTGTAACAGTAGAGTTGTTTATCACTCAGTGTAGGCCTTCACACCACTACAATGATTAGCGTGCTCAGGCTACCTGGTCCATTACACCCCACAACCACAGTCTCCGCGTCTGATTGCTAATTTCAGAAATCGGGAGGACTTTACTGAGGCCTTCCAAGCCTGGTCAACCTCGAACAACGACCTCTACAGTCGCATCCTATGTGAACGTCAACCCAGATCGTTAGGGCAACATCAACTAATCCCAATAAAATGCACTTTAATCACATGGAACTGGCCAACATATTTTGAACATCAATCCACTTAAAACCCGAAAGACAGATGCTGCATCAGATGATTAGGCAAACAGTCACGTTACTTTATAGCAACGTATAAGGACAAAGGGTAAACAATGAAAAATCAGAATGATTGCACACCGAGGGTGCACTTCTGTCTCTTTTTATCAAGAGTTAATTCCACTTAGAATGCTTTCCCAACCTTAGTGACAACAGTCCTATCAGTGGGTAGCTCCAATACGAGACTTGACGAACACATACTAACCTATAGATTACCATCTCCCTCTTAGGCTAGCTATGTCTGGTGCACATCATGCATTTTACAAAGGTTATCATTATCACATATCAGTAACAGCTTCCTATATCTCTCATTGTCGTCTCCGTCTCCCCTCTCATTCTTTCATTTCCGTCTTCCTAAACACTATCAAATTATCAACTTACTCGTTATTCGCCAAATAACCGTCTCCTCTTGACCATAGAATCATTGCTTTATTATTTTCACATTGCAACCAACCAATCTTCTACCTGGTAATATGATAGCTGCCTGTATCCAGAAGCCCTGGTGACCTAAGACAAACGCGCTCGGTCAACCTACAAGATATGCAAAATCTACAAATAAATAACAAATAAATTAGAACAGAGGCAGCCGAGTGGCTAGACTACCATCCACCAGATATTACTACATACCTGGAACCATAGCGAATCAACAAAAAGTGAGCGCAAAGAAATCATTCAATTTATACAAACTCATGACAATGATATGTGGTATTGGATCTGACAATTCAGAATATGGAGTCAAGTAATGGAGGAAGAAGGGGGGAGTATTTTTGAACAGGTTTTCACTAACCTCAGACAAAGGAACACTGAAAATTATTTGCTGTTTGTGGTAAAGCCTTGATGGTGAGCGCGGGTTGGATGAATTTGACCTTGTTTGGAGGACAAACTACGGTTGAGTGATGAAATAAGGTTTTCCTTTGGAAGTTTAGTAGATGGTTGTTATTGACAATATATAAGCCAACCAGAAGACTTTTTGGGTTATTTAATTATTTGTATCACATGAGGGTCATCTGCAAATCATAAGCTAACTAAAATACAATAGAAAAGTTGTCGAACGTGAATGATGAACTATTGTATGTGAATTTTCATGATTTTCATTACGAAATGACATCATCCATAGTGTAACAACTCCTTTTTCTTTTATGGGAGGATCAGATTAGCCCTCGAATGTGATTGGTTCTTGTATATGCTTGAATTCTGCCAACATTTTTTCTGGGATACGGAGTCAGACAATAGTAGTTTACTGTTGTCACTGATACACTTAAGATGTACTTCTCATGCACTTGCAAATCACTAAGCTGCTCTAAAGTCACAAGACATGTCAAAATAGGGTTAATAGTGTTTGGAAATTAGTTTAGGGCTTTCATCACGATGATACATGTTTAAAAAAATCGTCAGGGAGACTGTAATTGATGGTCTGGAAAATTAGATCTGAAATTGCGATTCCTGGATTTCGGTGCAGAAGTCACTAATCGATATAACGAGACTACATTTTGGAACCATAGCTGAGGTCAGGTTGTGACGAAAACCCTAATTTTAATTCATAATCCCGACTTGAAACTCTAACGTCTAGTCTCGACTCCTCACTTGATTTTTATAACCGTATTTAGACTAATAAGTGGTCAGAGTTCCACAAAGACAGAAGAAGTGGAGTACTTAATTTCATAAGACTTTTAAGATCGTACTTAATTTATGTTTTAAAAAAATTCTGTTTTTACTGTTGATATGGCTGTCTGCTATGACTGAAATAACCGCTATTTATTTCGACAGAACATGTCAGCGCAAGAAAACAATCAAAGCCGTAGGCGAAGATTTATTTATTCATGTACCACTGGTTAATACCATAATGAAAATAATGATGAAAAATGTATGCGAATTTTTAAAAGTTCAGTCATTAGATAAACTTAAATATGTTCAGTTGGCAGTAGTTTGCATACCGTTATACTCAAATCCTTATGTTCTTCCATTTTTTACCTGGTCTTCTTATTTCTTTCGAATGACCACCTGTATAAAAGTTAGATAATCAGTTTGACTTCTTTAAAAGTTTGGTTTTCAACCTGTTTTTTGTTCTGATTTTCAGTTATCCGATGCCAACTAAACAATATATCTGTTCACAGCCTTTCTACCGTTAAATCTCATCCATTGTAATTACCAGGCGTTAAAATGTCAAATGGTTCGTAACTCGGTTTAATAGTCGTTTTCTTGCTTTAGGAAACCTACACAGTGATTTATTCCTGCATTATTATAAAGCGTGGGGTGGAGTTGAAGTCTATGAGTCAGAAAACTTAGGGATACCAGATTTCTTTCAACGTGTCAGTACATATTAAGCTATTACTAACTTACTGTTCAGGTACCACAAGATAATGAGATTTTACCTGCGAAATTACGGGAGGACGCTAGGTAAATATTTAAACAAACTATAATGGTTTTTAGGTCCGCTTTGTTGGAGAGAAAGAGTTTGAGATTGTTGTCTAATGTTGAACTTCAAGTAAGGTAGTTTCTGTCATACATTTTTTGTACAAGGAGTTTTGGTATCTTTTGGAACGCTATCACTCACCTCCTACAGTTAATGGTGAAAAATTCATGGATTATGAGAATTTTCGCAAAGCATCTAATGAAGCATCTCCCAAGGCAAAGTAAGTGTCAAATGCTTGTTTTGCTTTTAGGCTTGATCAGTTTTATTCTAAATGTGCTTTTAAACATTTACGTCTCATTTAATCAACAGTCTATTGTGTAGTTGATTTTAAATTATACCTTTTGTGATACTGGAGTACTATGTTTGTGTTGTGATCTGTAGAAGGTCGAATCCCCCACTTCTTCAACTTAGTGTCGGTCCTCTCTTCAGAGAAGAAAATAACATTTTTCGAAGTAGGACAGGAAATTTTATTTTCCACTCATTGGAATATTATAAACACGTTGTTCCACTACTATCCATCCAACCCAACTTATTTAAATTCATTAAGTCAAGTCTCCATAGGGAGGATTATATTTTGTCATGTTTAAGAATCCACCTAAAATTAAAGAATTACGAGTCTCTCATCGATATCTAGCTATTTCAGCTCTTGTGATTTTGAATACGATATTCGTGAAATACCTAGAAATTTAGAAGAAAGGTGGAACTTATTTCGACAAACAACATGAGACGTTAGTTCACTTTGCCACCTTTCTAAATATCACAACACAGATTTCAAAAGGGAGGCAGGATACAAAAAGTACATGACATAAAATTTTCTTCGATTTACTTAAAATATTTATAACTCAAAGATTATTCATTTGGTCGTTACATCATAAACAAGCAATGAGATTAGTTACTGATGATTAGAAACTTGTCATTAACCGTAGATAGGTTAACAAAATCGCTCCAAAATCATTTTATCGCAGCCTTATAAAACGCGGATATTCATGTAGTCCTTTCATATAGATATGATTATCGGTAACGCTAACTATTTCTAATAATTGCTAACTTACCTACTACACTTTTTATTTATGACTACTACCTACTGATGTCAGTAATTAGCGTTAACTTACACCTTAATTATCTGTAAATTTTGTTTGTTTCTCATGATTGCAATATTTACAGATGTCTAGTAGCAAGCTAATGAAAATTTACGAATGATTATATTTTAGGCAATATTTCACAGCTGCTACATTTGTAAAATTACTTCGTGAAGACGAAGTTTTGTCACGTATTAATATCTTAACATTTTTCAATTATGTCATGAAGAAAGTATGGTTGCAACAAACCCATGTTGGGATATCTCTTTACGATGTGTGCGGTGAAGGTTATTTGCGAGAGACAGATCTGGAAAACTATATGTTGGAACTTATCCCTACTTTGTGTCAGGTAATTTGTTCATTCTATGTTTTATCGTGAATGCGACTACTTTGGTGAAGGGATTATCTTGATACCATTTATGAGGTGATACTATTTAGTTAGACCACATGATATACCTTAAAGTGTATTGAGTATTTGAAAAAAAACGAACAATGTACTCTACTCATGAATTTCTTAATACATGTGTTGCTCTGATAGGGTGATAGATCTAACGCGGCTAAATAGCCAGTCCATACTTCTCGAGACCCTCATTTATGAAGTTTTACATTGCTGAAAAAATGAACTGATGAGACTAAAACTAGTATTGGTTAATCTTTATAAACTATGAAAAAAATTAAATTTCAAACCCTAACACAGAATTGCATGTCAACCAATTTTCTTTAATAATCAGGATCTTCCTTCACCATTCAATGTTGTTTCATTTCACTTATTAACTCATTTCAGTTTTCATTGGTTGCTTCTACTCTGTAAATATGGTTAGTGCATGGCACATGAACAGTTCAACTGTGATGCATAGTACTAGCTAAATAATTCATCCACTCGGCTCTCATGGTTCAAACTCTTTCAGGTATAACGGTTACTGCTACCCGCCTAACGAAGTGGGTGAAGCCCCATGACTTTTCGGGTAGGGAGAAAATCCTAAAATGACATCGCGACTGGACGCTGGAGAATTGTGTAGACAGGGATATGATATCAGTAGTATGGGTGAATTTCTCGACTCACACTACGTAGTGCAGACGTATTATCTTGGCTTACACTACTTCTTCCCTACCACTTTCGAAAGCTTTTATGTAACCAAAAGCTCTGATAAGTTGTAATAAGTTCACTAGCGGCAGCAGCATTTCACTGGATGAATATCGAATATTCAAATCAGCATGTAAGTCGTATTTTGCCCTCCTCTTAGATATTGTTCCCTTGAATCCTGTTTCACCCAAAAGCCACTACATAAGATTTGACTGTACATAATCAAGGCTCTTGGATTGTGGCAGTAAGTTCTCATTTTACAGACACTAAAGTTTAGTTGACAGCAGTACGTTAGAATTATGTACATTGTCCCATTATCCCTTAAAGGTTTGCTAGCTTCGAAACCTTAATTTTACCCATATTTCGCAGGACTTGACTATGTTCATTTGAGAATTATGAAAAGTTTTTTTCAAACCTTGAAACTTTTCTTAAATATTAAGAAATTTTGTATTCCTTACTCAAAAATAACTTTAGCTATCAGAGTTGGAGCCAACGTTCCAAACATTCTATGTATGCACGGCTGTACGAAAGTTCTTCTTTTTCCTTGATCCCTTACGTTCTGGTCGTGTGCGTATCACCGACATTTTAGCTAGTGGATTTCTAGACTCTATGCTTGAATTACGTGAAGTATCTACATCAGAGGCACAATTAGCCGCTAATTGGTTTAGTCATCAATCAGCTGTACGTGTTTATGGTAGCTATTTGCTCTTAGATGAAGATCGAAATGGCTTATTGACACGCAGTGAATTATCACGGTAAGATAAATAACATTTGGCATCTCATAAAGGTTATTTTTACTGTAGGAGTTTATTAGTCCTTCTGATCATTCAATTTTTAACTTTACATTGTCATTAGTTTTTTATGCGGTTACATTTTCTGAACTAAACATTTTTATTGATTTCAACCACTTGACGAAAACATGCTATATAGTTTAAATATAAGCTGATGATGATGTCTGTAACTGATTATTTACAGTACCTTACATATTATGGTATCCAAATCACTAACTTTATTATAGTTATAATTTTCCTCATTATGTGATGTGTATAGTCCAACTCCATATGTCTTCAGATTTTAACCCGGATGCGATCAATGATGTGCTTTTTCACCAGTTAACTGTTCTTCTACAGAAATTGCATTCGACAGATATTGTGGTACTAGCTGGAGACATGGATACTCAGGCCGGGCGTCTAGACATAGAAGAGAGTCGTTTAGGTGGCCGATGGGGAATTGTTAGTTTCAGGTCAGATAATGGTGACCGTCTACTGCAACTGTGCGCAGACCACGACCTGTTGGTGGGTAGCACTAACTACCGACACAGTCACCACCAGTGTTTCACCTGCGCCCTCCCTATACATCTCAAGCCCGGATTTGAATTGATCACGTCGCAATCAGCTACCGCTGGCGTGGTTGTGTACATGACTTCCGCTCCTTTTGGAGTACCTGTCTGAACCCAGATCATGCCCTGGTCTGCAACAATCTTATCCTACTTTTCAGTGGCCAACGAATTGATCGTCATCAACGGATTAATGTCAGTAAATTGGCTGCAATTTTTGTTGTAAGTAGGTTTCGAACAGAGCTAGCTTCTAGGCTAGCTATCAGCCCACCGAAACGTATAGGTGAGCATTGGTTGCAACTGCATGACGCCATGTAAATGGCGAGTAAATCCACTCGCTGCTTCGCGAAACGTCCCGCTTACAAGCACTGGGTTTCTTCTGGCTCCTTACAACTGATCGAAGCCCGTCGGTCTACTCCGGGTGACCGTGAGTTCGACCACAAACGAAGGCTGTTATGAAAGAAAATTGGGCAAAGCTTGCTTAAGGACCGAGAAGCCTGGTGGTTGGAGTGTGCTAGTGAGCTGGAAGCAGCAGCTGCATCTGGCAACTGTCGGAAACTCTTCCAACTCATCCGAGCCACTGGCAGCAAGAAGTCTGGTGTGAGTGAAACAGTCTATGAGGGTGATGGGATGCCAATCACTAACATCCATCGACATTTTGGATGATGGGCAGAATTCTTTGGAGGGCAGTTCAACTAGCCTGCTGCTTTGGGGACATTTATCAGACTGTCCTGCCCCCTGTAGCCCGTATCGACTGATCCGCCTACCGAGATTTAAGATCACAAAGAAATCTGACTCTTGAAGCGCCACAAACCACCAGATCCAGATGAATTAACTCCGGCTCTTTTTAAAGATGTTGGCGACCTTCTGGTTGTGGAACGGACTGAGTTATTTACAAAGGCCTGGCAATTAGAGGGTTTTCCAACATGGTGTAATGAGTGGATAGTTGTCCCTATCTTTAAAAAGGGTTCACGTCGTTCCTGCAATAACTATCGGGTGACAAGTTTTCTTCTGATTGCGTTCAAACTGTTGGCTTTCGTCGTCCTTTGAGAGAGATTGACTCATGAGGAGCAGACTGGTTTTCGTTCTGGTCTTGGATGTATTGATCATATCTTCACCCTCCGCCAAATGTTAGAACACTGTCACACTTATTGCAGGCCAACAGTTGTAGTGTTTTTTGATACTGGGACCGCCTTTGATTCGTTTGACAGGAATATTCTCCGGGATTGTCGATTGAAGAAGGGTGTACCTGAAAAGTTTATTAGCATCTTGAAGGTCGTATATACTAACACTTGACCTCAAAAAGTTGAGAAGATCGAATCGAAGAGAACGGGAACAGAGAGTTATTGCTGTAGCAATGAAGAAACGATTAAGTTTGAGACAATTGATGCAAGATTTGCAAATGAAGTATTGAACGTATGGTTTTCACATGTGACAAAAGAACTTCGTAATTTTGTATTTAAGTACGTTGGTTGTCCCTATCTGAGTTCTCGTTCATTACAGCATGAGTGATGAGGTCGATTCGTATATGATGAAAGCCGAAGCGTCGTATGCCAATCTGAGCCATCTTTGGCGTCTTCGTGATGTTAGTCTGGCTGTAAAAGGTCGGATTTACAACGCGTCGGTGAGAGCAGTTTTGCTCTATGCTTGTGAAACCTGGCCTCTCCGAGTTGAGGATGTTAGACGACTTTCTGTGTTCGATCATCGTTGTCTCCGAAGGATTGCTGACATCCATTGGCAACACCATGTTAGTAATGCAGAGGTTTGGCATCGTGTGTTCGGGCGCAGAGACGATAATTCAAATGGTGTCACCATCTTAAAACACCGACTTCTGTGGCTTGGACATGTTCTACGAATGTCGTCCCAGAGACTTCCACGTCGTGCATTATTTGCCGACTCTGAGACCGGTGAGAAAAAGCGGAGAGGTTGTCAGTGTATGACATGGTGTCGTGGTATGAAAGAAAGCTGCAAAGGGCTAGCTTCTGTTGGTCATTTACGACTCCCTGGATGGGGTCCGAGAGATGGTGCAACACAGTGGCTAGAGACGTTATCAGATATGGCTCGGAATAGAAGCCAGTGGCGATCCTGCTTTAACCTTCTTTTACTTTCTTAATAAAGAGTGGTTACAACTTTCTTAACTAAGAGTGTTCTTCTGATTGTACATTTCAGTTCGCCCATCATTACTCTTCTTTTTTTATCCTTTTTTCTTTTATATATACACATCATCTTCTCCTCCCATTCTGATTATTTTGTGTGGCGAATATGTATCCGGTGCCCTTTGTACCAATATGTATGTGTTTAAATAAATAAACTTCACTCTGTATCCGTCTTTTTTATTTCTGTTTGAGACTAGTTATGCTGATTTGATTTTCAGCTCTGCCATCTCCAAACCAATAATTTAAATGATAGTTTGTCATGTTGTCTACCGACTTCGATTGATATCAGCAATGAAGATGTTGATGCAATCTGTAAAAATTAGCATATGACTGTCAAGTTCGGTTGGTGCAATAACTTATTATTTTATCGCTATCGGAGAGTATCGATATATATATATATATATATATATATATATATATATATATATATAATTTTTCTGAATTTGTTGTAAAGATTTGGAAATGGTACATTGACCGACGTATTTCTCGATCGTGTATTTCAAGAATGTCTAACTTATGAAGGTGAAATGGTTAGTTTGTCTTTTATTTACCAAATTTGCATTAAAATACTGCTGTAATAATAATTTTTTGGTATCTTTACTTTTCAGAAGTAGATGCATATTTCAGTGTTATCCTGCGTAGTGAACTTGTCATCATTTCTTATAATTACTTGTATTACAGCAATTCTGGTAGATAAACAGTATATTTAGCGATGATACTGTTTAGTGGTCGAAATGATGGGTTACTGTCACCAGTGATAAGCTCTTAAAAAGTATCGAGCTATTGCCACAAAAACGACTACTCCCTAAAATATAGTGTGTAATCAGTACTTGACTCCATCTTCTACTGCACTTAGGCTTACTATCTTCACCTCTTTGTTTCTGACTTTCCATCGTCTACATTGGATCGGCTAGATAAGTAATATCACGTACCCTTACACAAACGTACGGCTCTGGATTTAATTTGAATGCCTATTGTACTAAGTCTTTTATTTGTTCTAATCAAATCAAACCGTTTAAAAATGGGCAAATATGACCTCAGGTGTATATTAAGACAGTAGTCAGTAACTCAGATATGTTTTTGATCTAGTATTATGTGTATTTATTGTGGAACAGTAGTTTTGTAAATAAAGCGTTATGCTCTCATCCATAGTTGCTGGTTTACACTTGCCCCACGTACTTGTCTTTCAGAATTTGCGTAGTATTACCTTTCAGCACGAAAAAACGATTCATTGTAGCCCCGAGCCACATAGTTTTGTACTTGATCGCCTAGTTGTATTAAAATCAGTCATGTATTTAGTCGTCATCCTTAGTGGTTAGTTGTCAAGTTGTTGATTTGTCGCTGTAGCGTTATGATTTTCTACTCAAAAGTCATTTTTTACGTTTTTGCCAGGACTACAAAACTTATTTAGACCTGGTTTTGGCTATGGAAAATAAACATGAGCCGCAAGCAATTGCTTATCTTTTTCGTATTCTTGATGTTGGTGGTCAAGGTAAACTGACTTCACTAACATTGCGGTATTTCTACGACGGAATAGAAGACAAACTACGTGCGTCAGATAATGATACACCAAGTTTTGACAATGTATTAAATGAAATCTTTGATATGGTACGACCAGCGAATCCCCATTACATCACTTTAGATGACCTTATCAATTGGTAAGTCCATGCTGTTTCTTAAAAAGCTGGAGTGATATATATATATATATATAGGCTAATATATACTAGGCTAATTATTTCGATTTTATATTCGTATTGAGCCTTCATTAACTCACACACTTTAGTTCAGACAATGCCAACTGGAATTGAAATATTGTATTTACTGAACGGCAAAACACTGAGTTTAATATGAATACATATGTGCACATGTTAATAGGAATTTAGCACTCATCAATCACTCGTTTGTGGATAGACAACCAGTAGGATTACTGGGACTTAATAAATTACGAGAACTATGGCTGAACTATCAATGAAAATTGTATCTACTATAAATATGTATTTTATAGACTTATCATGTTTAGATTGGAATAGTAATGCATTAGAGGAATATTTCGAAATTTTTCGATTCTTATCACGTTTGGGTAATATTTCGTTTGGTTCACTTGACATGTTTTAGTGTGTTAGAATAAATCCATCATTTTCCAAATGTCACTTTTCTCCGTGATGAATTGGCATTTGTATTCAATACCTTGTTGGCTAGTCAGTCAGCTTACAGTAGTCATTATAAAATGACCCCGATTACTGGTATATGTTCAGGTGTTTTTTCATTTACAGTCAGTGTCTGCAATCGTACTTCGTTGCATGTATTTTTTCTTAAAGACTTATAATACTTCCTCAGAAAAGGCATAATTTGATTTAGTGTTTGTTCCTGTTCTTGTCTTATATATCTTTTCTTCCCATATATATTTATAATTTGGAGTTTTTTGTTTGTTCATATTTTTATGTACAGTGGTAAGGGTGACACAGTAATAAACATATTAATCGATCTCCAAGGTTTTTGGGCCCATGAGAATCGTGAAGCTTTTACTTCCGAAATACCAGATGAAGCCGAATTATAAATCGGATTTTCATTATTCACTGATATCCAACATTGCAATCAGTGTTAATTTGCTCAATGCATTGTTACTGAAAAAAACATAAATGAACTTATATACTTATTGGACAATTGAACACTTCTAAACTTTCGTAATGTGTCTATACTTAAAAATATACAGGACTTTTGCGAAGTATAAAGGTTGTTCTCTGTTTCCCGCTCACTATTTTCCGTTTTTACAAAGCAATCGATATCGAAATTTTATACATACAACTCCGTTTTCATGCTTTAGTTAAAAACTGTGCCCCATTTTGTCGATTTGTTTATCAACCTATGTTGTATGCTTGCCGAATCTACGTCTTAATGTTCCACTATGAATTCAACTAGTTATTACGCAGCTAAGTGTCTATTCAACATGAAGGCTTATTATTTTTGAATACACGTAAAACAGGTAAAATAATGTTTCCAAAGGAGAATGAAAACCTTTGCGCCCATTGCAGAAAGATAGAACGATTATCATTATCAAAGCCGATAAAGGGAATACAACAGTGGTCATGAACAAAAGCGATTATGGGTAAACAGCTCCTAAACATCTATTAATGGGAGCATATTTTGAGATTGATTAAAAAATTTTCAAGTGCTTCAAAATAAAGTCAAATTAGAAGCAAGTGAATTTCTGAAATGGCTGAAATCATTTATTGGCTTTTCCCTATGGCTTACTTTCTACCCTAAATCCAATACCACGTCACGTTTCTAAGGGCTACCAAAATCCACTAGCCTAACACTGCTTTAAGATCCATAGGTGACTTCACAAACACTCATATATGCTTTATCTAAATAACTAAGCAGTATACTAAAACCAATTTGACACAGACTATTCAGTGTCGTAAGGGATTCATATGAATTCAAACGGAAGACCTCGGAACTATCAATCAACAAGAACAAAACAATGGTAAGCTATAATGTTGTATTTTTATACACTAGAATCTTAATTGATAAATTATTAGACTTCTTTAATAGTTTATTAGAAAGTGGTGATACTCTATCTAGCAGTTGTCCATTAAGTATTACTTCAATCATGAAATCCCTCAAACTATACTTCGATTCAACGCTATTCACTTTTAAAGGCACTTCATATAAACAAACGAATGGAGCAGCCATGTGATTTCCAGTATCCCCTGTTGTTGCTTGTTTAATAATATCTCACTCTGAGTCGCCTATTGTTGCCAGTACCATCAAACAACGCATCTGGCTCTGATATTTAAGCGACACATTTGTCATTATTAAAAAGACTCTCCTTAAAAATTTCTCCAAACAGATAAGCACGTTCTAAGAATATATCAAATCCACTTTCGAAAAAGAAGATAGACATAGCGAACTACCATTCTAAGACTGTTCATTTAAAAGGAATTATAATGGAATTCTAACCATATACCGAAAGCCTACACATTCAATTCAGTATATTGATTTCAATTTAGCACATTTTTTCAGCCCAAAAACTTCAGCAGAGCAATCAAGTTCATTTCTTCAGAAGATAAGGTAAGAGAGGAGAGAATATTGATTATTTTATTTATTATTATTGATTGTTTTCCTAAGAGTTATTAAAGACAGTAAAACGAAATTTTCCGTCTGTAAATAACAATCCTAATATATTTTTGATAATCACATTCTACTGCACAAATAATCACAGTAACAGGTCATAAATTTGACAAGTCGAGATTCACGTTCACAGGTTTTAATTCGTTTTCAGGGAACGGTAGAACTTGTTAAGCCTTTATTTAAGAGTAGTCGTAACCATACCAGACGAATATAGAATTACTTGGACTAACTCAGATTGAGGGGATAATTTTAGTTTGCGTGAGCTTGAGAGGTCTTTTTAGACAATAAACACGTACATTGGTTAGTTTGACCATGCTTGAAGCAAATTACTGAAGGTCCGTACCATGAATAATCACTTTTATCGATTTGCTCTTTTCTTCAAATACCATGCGGCCTGTAGTGTCATGTCTTGTAAAACATTGTATAGATTTCGTCAAAGCAGATTTTATAATATATGGGATTTCAGATTGCCGAATGTTATGGAGGTCACAAATCGACATGAGTAAGAAAATTGTCGGAAACCAAGAGACACTTGGTAGCTTTTTTGTCTTGCAATACAACTTCTCAATAGTGAGCATTCAGTAACCCAAGGAGAATCTAAGTCCTCTCGATGACCACCTAGACTTTAAACTATCGGGCCACCATCCAATAATCAACACATTTAACTTCAGTCAATTAGGCATACTTCCTTTGGTAGGAAACTTTCACCTGATATGGTTGCACCCCTATAGGTAAGACATCTCTCTAGAAGTTCGAAATTTTCCTCCACAGACCCGGAGGTTCTGAATTCGTTTCCTGGTGAGTTCATGAGTGCAGTATGTACAGTACAGTATGTCTCGTACTATAACGAATGTATATTCAATGGTCGCCCAAATTATATCTCTTGATGATCTCAGTAAAAAAGCTTTGAGACTGAGATCTTCCATTACTGAGAAAAACTTAAATCCCTTCATCACCCTGTGTAAAGGAGAGACAGGATCAAAGGTAATTTATTCTCAATGGTCTGCATCTAGTGTAACAATATAGTCGTTAGGTTCATATTAAACAGAATTCATGTCAGCTGAAATATCTCAAATTTAGAAGTTTCATAGGAAACCACTCATCCCTTAGATTTTCATTGACGACCTATATAAGACTAAATCACAGACCCCAATTTAAGCTGTTGAAACATAAAGTTATGAATATCAGGCTACGTACAGCACAAACAACTTACATCCTCTGTGTTAATCTTTTCCCCATAATCTCCACAAAGCGAAATATAGGACCAAAAACCACATAGACTTTCAATATTCTGTAGTGGTAAATAAATCCCCAAAATCAGTAGCTCTTTAAATGTTCAATATTGGATGCTGACTACATTAGTTTTAATGGACTCACCTAGCTGAAGGCGCTCGGTCATTCATCCGCACCAGATCACGAGTTGAAACGCCGTGCTCAACTTCTCTTACGATCACCAGCTAGTTTAGATCAGTCACTTCTCAATATATTGATAATCTATGAAATATATCTTCGAAACTTCTCGTTTCTGACTTTTGATTTCACTGAGTGGGCACCATTCAATTATATAAGGTGTTACTAGTAAAGTGTTGTCAAACTACAATACCTGTGGTATCTTCAATGGATTCTTAATTTTGTCGTTTTTAATCCTCTTTTCAAAAAAGGATACAAATCAACGTGAATATGTAAAGAGACAGGAGACAAGGTGGATAATAAAGCTGAGTATCTAATCTTTCGAAGTTTGCTTTTTGATAGGGGTTTTGCTTACCGAGCTTCAGGAAAACAAGTAATGATCCGATAATAGTGCGCAACGTGATAGATACACTATGTTATACAACACAAACGTCCTAAATGTACTCCACTGCCGTACTCTGCAATTCAACTTCAAAAAAATCTACGAGCGAAAATGCAAGCGAATTCCTATTTCTAGTGACAAGTTGTTTTCATACCGAATGCTTTCTAGGCCTCGGTGACCATGATCGTCATAGTGGATACCTTCAAGGAGATGCTCAGAAGATCATGTATTGCTAACGGATTACTGTTTCCGTATGGTTTTCCTTGTCTTGGTTACAGTCTAGAAGCAGTAAAACTGAGCCAAGATATCCTACCAATAACAGGGTCTGAAATTCAATACAGTTGGATACAGGTAAAACAAACAAATAAGGAACATGTGCACAAAGACAATAAAAGAAGACAGACTTCAATACCAGATAAAGCTCACCCATACATTTGTCCTCAGTCCGTGAAGCTTGTTCCTCGACAAGACGAAATTGGAGTTTCCTAAATGCAACGGCCCGACCAACAACGATGATGACGCTGTCAACCTCCCAGCAGAACAGAATTTTCGGACATTTCGACTGACCCATACTGAATAGATTGATGAGAGCTTCACCTGCAACCCAACAGGACTCCTAGAAGTGGACCTGAGCCCTGACTTGGCGTAACGGAAACATAAGCATCTAAAATGGGACACTTCTCCTTGTATGAATGTGGTCCGCTCTGCTGAAGGAAGTAGCTTCGGTCTTGGCAAAACCTCTTAGCGTGCTCTTCTCACATTCGTTAAGCTGAGGCATATTACCAGAAAATTGGAAGCTGGGTCATATCACACCAATTTCCAAAAGAGGTCGTCATGGCGAACCTTCAAGCCACGGACTGGTAGCGCTTCTCTCAATACCATCAAAAAATATATGCGACGGTATACACGACTGTTTATTATCCATAAACTCTTTTTAATCATAACAGCATGGTTTCAGTGAAGGTCACTCTTGTATAAACAACCTGCTGACTGCACTGGGCAGATGGAAGACCATCCATGATCTCAAGGAGAAGGTTGTCATCATTTACCTTGATTTCTCAAAAGCTTTTGATAGGGTCAACCATATATATGTCTTATCAACAAGCTCAAACAATTAGGTACTAAATCACCCTTAACTGTTTGGCTTGAGGATACGACTGGTCATTCTAACTTTACAATTAGCTACCAGTAGCACCTTCTATAATCGAAACCTTCTTGGCCAATTGAAATCAGAAGTCAGACGAGAAGAGGTAGGAAAGATATATTTGATACGTTATCAATATATCGAGGGACGTTTATTCTAAGCTGACTAGTGAACGTAGGAGCAGTGTCCCACGCCGAGTTTGAACGTGATCTGATACGGATGCATGACCGAAAGCCTTCAGTTAAACAAGTCCACTTAAACAACGTGGTCAGCATCCAATATCGAACACTTAGAAAAATATTGATTTTGGGGAATTATTTACAGCTACAGGCCCATCCCATATATAAATAATCAACTTTTTAAGGTCAGGCTTAACTTCAACTCAGATTATGGAATGCTCTAGTGAGGTCCCTTAAGGCTTCAGTACTAGGACCTCTTTTCTTCTTGATTTATATAAACGGTCTTCCACAGCAGATGTCGTCAGGTTTATTACTTTTCGCTAATGTGAAACGTTGGAGAGAGGTTAGCAACCAAGAGGATAAACTGATGCTTCATGAGAATCTGACTCGGCTTAAAAGTTGGGCAGATGACAACGAGCCTATCTTCGACACTTCAAAGTATAAAGTAGTCCATCTCAGATATTTTGCAGACTACAAATACAACTAAGGTAACTATCCTCCAGAGGTATCTTAAGTTGGAAAACATCTAGGAGTGTCGATACCCGATGATCTGAAGTCTTACGCTAACTGAAACAAAAATGCCTTTCGAGCAACTGTAACGTTGAAAACTTTTTGGCCAGCTAAACAAAAGAACTTTTCACTTAGTCTTCAACACTTTTATTCTCCCTCATCTAGATTACGGAGACAGCATTTTTTCACCACTTCAAAACGATAAAGACACTCTGGAACGTATCTAAAGGCGTGTCACAAATTAAGTTCCGGGACTCAAACTCATGTCTTATGAAGAGCGCCTTCAATTGCTGAACCTTTTCTTATTAAGGCACAGGCATCTTAGAGGTGACCTCCTGATGACTAAAAGCATCCCAGACTTTTCTGAGCATCCCCTTCAACACCTACTTAAGCTTATCCCCAAAACAAAACTTAGGGGACACACCCAGAAACTTAAGACGCAACATAACAGAATGGACTGAAGGCACACCTTCTACTCCTTGAGATTAGTCAAATGTTGGAATTCGCTGCCGACTGAGTCAGTGCAAAGACTTATCAGGAGTCTTCTGAGAGAAAACTTGAGATAATCATTAGGAAGAAGGACAGTATTTCACTATAGTTCGCCAATTCTTGTTTCTCTTTTATCGGTAATATACCTGAGTTATTATCTGAAGACATCGGTGAACCACTTATACTAGATATGGAATCCCTTTATGTGAAAGCTTCTACAATTTGGTCGAGAACCATATGAACAATTTAGACATCAGCGGGTGAAACAAAAGTTGTGGTACGTTACTTCCAAACATTTTGTAGTTGAGCCTATATATGCTGTGTTAAGCAGCGTTTACTTTAGTGCTCTATTATAGAGTTTTGATAATTACTTAGTTTGTTTGTTTTTAGGAGTTCAGGTAACTCGGTAATTATTCATTGTTATTCTCAAGACCGGTATTGTTTCACGTTGAGTTTAATTCACTGTTTTGATCGTAAATTACGTATCAAAACTACCGTTTGCGCTTTAATTGAATTTATTTCAGTTAACGTGACATTGTATTTGTGTGTTTTGATTCTGCTTTTGTGTATTTGCTGCATCAAAGCATTCTTGGTCGACTGAGGCTTGTTTATTTGATAAGGTTGTGATTTATCTTACATATCTACCTTGCCTATCATTTTGTTTTATTCTAAGATGGTCGGCTCTGTACACAAGTGTGGACAGCCATATTACCTATTCCCCGTGGAAGAAGGGATGCAATGTGACGATTGTAAGAAGTGGTTTCATAAAATGTGCACCCGCTTAAGCCCTGCTGCTTATAAAAGGTGCTCGAAACCCAATTCTCATTGGCTCTGTATGTTTTGTTGCTCAAGTAAGACATTACTCATACAGGAAGCCATCAGCCTTCTAGCGTTAGCTAAAAAGGTCGAAGTAGGCCGTGCCGGCAACATAGATACTGATAATGAAGATTGTATCAGTGTCGTAAATGCTGCCATGGCAGGTACCAGACACCCAATTTCCCAACAGGAAGCAACAATTTGTACTCCGGTACAACCAATGAAAGCCATGCCATTAAGTACTGAGGGACCAGTCGCTTTAGCAGCGACTGAGGACCCGGCTAGAACCACTATCGTCCAGAATAGTTCCAATCTGGATGCTGAGAATAGTGGCAAATGGATTACGCGGAAACGCAAAAGAGACGGAAAAACACCCAAAGAAAGCGCGCGTATAGTCGGTAAGTCATCGTTGGACTCACGTCCTGAGCATCAGGCAACTCCGCTCAAGTCCATACGTAAGGAAATAATTAATACTGTTGTGGATGGAAATAGTCTAACTTCACCAAATGTTGTTGGGAGTAACTCGCTTGACCCACATGACACTGTCATAAAGAAAGCTAATAGCAAGAAGCCGGTAGCTAACCGGCAGAATCTGACATCACGGTCAAAGGCCGTGAACACGACGTTTAAGGCAGTTAAACAGATGCCTAGTGTAATCATCTGGAACTTGGCAGAATCGAAAGACACTGATCCCGCTAAGAGACATGCCCACGACCTGCAGTTAGTGGGATCTCTCATCAGAAATATACTGCCAGAGGAGGTCCCAGGGGTACATATCTCGAAAGTCATCAGACTTGGTAAGTATGTTGGAGACGAAACCCAACAGAGAAGGATCCTCAAATTAGTACTCGGTAATTTTGAGGAACGGGACGTATTACTAAATAACTCACGCAAAACTCGTGACTCAAACATTCGTATTCAACCTGACTGGCCACTTGAGGATCGGATCAAGTGGAAGAATGCCCTAACAGAGTTAAAAACTCGAAGGCTAAACGGTGAAGCGAACCTTACGATTAAGGGTTTTCGGGTAGTCAGGTCTTGGAAGCCAATGCTTCCGAGACCTGTGTGTGTAGAACGCATGTCTCCAAAAACACCCTAAATGTGTGTTATACGAATGCTCGTAGTCTTCGGAATAAAATGTCTGAACTAAGTTTGATGGTAGACGACTTAAATCCCGATATAATTGTTATCACCGAAACTTGGCTCACTGTAGATATAGACTGTTCTCCAGTCATTTCAGGCTACATCTGTGTCAGAAGTGATAGAGTTAGAAGTCGCAAGGGAGGAGGCATAATATTATATATTAGGGACCACTTCCGCATTAACTCGATCATATCGGAGGCGCATGTAAGTGGTACGTGTGAGGTAGTATGTTGTACAATTAGGTCTAGAAACGGGTTAGTGACGATAGGAGGAATATATCGTAGTCCGTGTTGTCTCGCTGACGACTTTATCCTAAAACACGTCTGTTCTTGGAGTAAAGCAGAATGTTGTCTCATCGTTGGAGATTTCAATGCACCCCATATAAACTGGATAGAGCTCACAGCTCCAGGTGGGGGTTTCGATAGCGTCCTTCTGTCATCAATTATTCAATGTGCACTTGTACAATGTATCGTTAAGCCAACACATATAGACTTGGAACATAATCCGTCATTGATAGACCTTGTCCTCACACACCACTCTGAAGATATCGTTGACATTCAACATCTTCCCCCACTGGTGAATAGTGACCATGTCGTACTTTCCTTTAAGTTCCGGATACATGGTATAGAATTTGCATCAGCTCCACCCCGTCCTAATATCTGGAGAGCTAATATTCCGGCAATCAGGGACTATGCTATCTCAATTGACTGGTCGGTCGATGCTGATGGATCGATTGATGATGCATGGAATAGGTTTAAGTCTACGTTCGAATCCGTAACTCAGCCGTTTATCCCATGGTCAGCACGTAAGTTATCATATTGCCCTCCATGGATTAATAAGGAAACCCGGAAGCTGTTGAAGCGTAGGAAACACTTCTGGGACTTATTCTTGTCAACAGGTCAGGCATCATTTAAGTGCGAATATAAAAAAATCCGGAATATATGTAAAAAGACCATAGCTAAATCCCGCACGGCTTACGAACGACAGTTGGCATACGATAGCCGTACCTGTCCGAAGCGCCTGTTTTCGTACGTTAAAAGGCGGACGAAACGTAGTGATGGCATCCCCTCATTACTGTTAAGCGAAAATTCAGCTTTATTGGCTGAATCTGATCTAGCGAAAGCGGAGTTATTTGCTAACTATTTCAGTGAAGTCTACTCTACGAGTAGTGTTACAACTACTTGTCCCGTTGACAATGAGATACCAGCCATAGGACCCTTACACGTGACAGAGGATATAGTTCTTCCTTTGATAACTAACCTAAAACCTTGTAAGATACCGGGCCCCGATGGGTTACACCCACGTTTGCTGTCGTCGCTTGCGGACATTATCTCAAGACCGCTCACGATGCTCTTCAACATGTCCCTTTCACAGGCTCAACTACCTAGAGACTGGAAAGACGCCATAGTTAGTCCTATATTTAAGGATGGTCAGAGACGGATAGTATCTAACTACCGGCCTGTTAGCCTGACCAGTATAGTAGTTAAGTTACTTGAAAAATTAATTCGGGCTAAGCTACTGAGCCACATAGATTCGTACAATCTGTTAACTCCCGAGCAACATGGGTTTCGTAACAAGCATTCATGCTTGACTAACTTACTCATTGCGAGAGAGGATTGGACAGCTGCACTAGACAACGGCCAGTCTGTCGACGTGATATTTATAGATTTTAGCAAAGCGTTTGATAAGGTTTCACACTTAGGTCTTATGCAAAAGCTCTCGAGCTTTGGTATAACAGGTGCTATACAGGAATGGATAGGAAGCTTCTTATGTGACCGCAGACAGAGAGTGAGAGTCAATGGAACTCTATCCGAATGGAAACCGGTCAAAAGTGGTGTACCCCAAGGCACCATCTTGGGCCCTTTACTTTTCCTTCTGTATATTAATGAACTACCTTTATTACTTAAGTCGTCGACGTTATTGTTTGCGGATGATGTTAAAATCTGGAGAACAATAAGAAATGAGATTGATCGTTGTTATCTACAAGCAGATTTAGACGAATTAGTTAGGTGGGCTCATGATTGAGGCCTGGAAGTTAATTTCAGGAAGAGCGTGTTCATGCACATCGGGCACGATATTAGTTACCACTATACCATTAATGGTACATCTCTGCCACGCGTTCATACGCATAAAGACTTAGGAGTAATTATAAGTCACGACTTAAAAACTACTACGCACTGCAGTGCGGTTGCTTCCAAAGGCTATCGCGCGCTATGGTCGCTTCGCAGAGCATTTAAATGCTTTGACGAGGATATGTTTCGAATTTTATATCCCACCTATGTAAGGCCACACTTAGAATACTGTATCCAAGCAGCTAGCCCTTGTCTGATAAAGGATACTAAATCGCTTGAGCGTGTCCAGCGTGTAGGGACAAAATTAGTAAAGGGTCTTTCCGAACTCCCTTACGATGAGCGTTTAAAACGTCTAAATCTTTTCCCCTTATCTTATCGTAGGACGCGAGGTGACCTTATACTGGCATTTCGTATCTTTAATTATGATCTGGGTGTTAATATGTCTTACCTTTTTGCTCCCTCCAGCACTAATAATCTCCGGGGTCATAGCAAGAAGGTTCTGAAACCGCGATCTAATAAACTAAAGGTGGGGTCCCGTTTTTCTCATCGAGTGGTCAATGACTGGAACGCTTTACCAGAACAAGTGGTATCAGCACCATCAGTGAACATTTTCAAAAAGAAGCTGGACCTTCACTGGAAGGAAATCTGTCAGGATTAACACAGGTTCATCAACCTACTATCCTTATTACTGAAGACTGATTCTCCCGGCACGTAACAAACAAAGATATAAAATGAAGTCGTGCTTTGAGGGAATATTAGGGATGCTCCCTAGGGAAATTTAATGTCAGGATAGGCGAATTGTCACGGTCCTCCTCCTTCAAAAGATACTGGGGAATTTCCCTATTAAGTAAAGAAGGTGAGACTAATTTATTGATGACGTTTCGGCGACCAAAGCATGAAACTGAGTCCTTCACTTGTTCATTCCAGATAAAAATTTAAATCCCCCTTCAATTCCAATAGCACAGTGATATAAGACAGGTTGCTCAATGTTGACCTACAAAAAGGTGTCTTATATTTCTTTACATTTTAGTCATCATCCTTTGGACACATTCTTGTATATCTACCTTGTACTACTACATTGCACCACTAAATGCTTGCTCAGTGATCTAGAGGTTAAGCGTAACGACTTATCAAACGTGATTCAAATCACAAAATAATGGTCTGAGATATGCTGGTAGATTTTGACCACTATGGGGTAACTTCGATTAGTGGTCAGAAACGAGTTCGACTTAAAGTTGGTCTCAGTAATTTGGATGCAAAGGTTTTGTGCCTGCGGTGCTTATTACTGACTAACGAGTTTCGTTTTAAAATATTTGATTGACTTCTGTTCTGCTTTCGGGTCATTTTAGATTTCTGCTCAAGTTATTGTACTTATTTCATGTGTTCGATCGATGAATCATGTAAGCGTACACGCAAGACAAAACCTTCAATCGCTATTCCCTATATTCATCCAAATCGTGAGCATTTAGATGAAAGGGCAATTTATGGCTTCATTATATATCTTGTATGTTTTCCTGCATTTGGTGAGTCGTTTTCATTTTCCAACAAATGAGCAGTGTATTTCATTGCTCGTTACAATTTTTTTAGTACTACTACGTACCCATATGCTTAGTTTTATGTTCAGAAAAGATATTTCGTGTCACTATAGCAATCACCATCCTTTTGACCGTTGTAAACGTACACGAACTTTATTCAAAGAAATATCAATCTATTTTCTCGTAATTCTTCAAAGTTCGACCTCTAGTTTCTTCATGTTATGGTATTTGTTTATTTGCCTAAATGGTTTGGTTTATCACGATAACTATGATAAAATTAGATTTTGTTTGCAACCAGTCACTGAATGTGACAAATTCATGACCTCTTCAGTCTTACATAAAACAAAGTAACAAAATTTAGACATAGTTGTGTTAATTAACGTACGTCAGTCAGTCTTAAATAACGCTGGATCTAGACTAAATTTGTTTCTGTCCAAGTTGTCATACTGCGTTTCAGCATCGGAAACAAAGTCAAAGTTTAGCATTTTTAAAAATTTATCCTATGGTGGAGAGTGATGGGCGTCTGCATAAGTGTTGTGGATGCTAATATATGTTCTCTGTACCGAGATCAATTTAATTTTGCAACATCCATTAGTTTCTTGCTTTTCTTTATACCTAAAACCCTAAGTTTAGCACCAGCATTGCTCACTAGATGGTTTCACCATACACAAGCTATGCTAACCAAATTATCATAACCTATGGATGTATCATATTTTCACAGGTCATGATTTACAATTGATTCCGTAAAACAAATAGTCTGTATTCACTTTTGTGTAGAATCAAATCCTATGGTAAGCTGCGTTGACGTTGGGTATGTTTTGTAGGTTGGCTAATGAGATCATGAATCCCCATCCGCTACGACGGTTTGTGTTATGAGTATTAAGATACCTCATTGTTACGATCGCTGAAGTGCAAGTATTTTGGATGCTGCCAATCAGTGTTCAGATCAAAACACGACATCACTTTGTGGAGCTATCGAATTTAAATTTAGGCTTTTTAGCTCAGAAGTAAGCTTTCTGACTGGTGTACACGTAATTGGTAATATTGAATATGTATCTAAACCGATCTCAGGCATAAAAATAGATTTTCCATATCACTCCAGTAATCAATCTTTTTATTCTATGCCTGAAAATTCTTTCATCTCATTTTTTCTTCCTAATTTCTTATTTCTTTTAATACTGACGTTAGTTTTATATCTATGCTACAATCCTATAATTTTGCTGCTTATAGTTAATTTAACCAGTGTGCTATTATTCTGAGATTTGGATTATTTCATTCGCTAGTTTAGTATACTGATTTCCTCAGTCGCTATAAGTTTACTAACTCGTATTCTTGAGGTTTGGTGTCAAATGATTTCTCAGTGATGTAACTTATGTGCTTATTTTGCTTAAATTGTAGTATCCTCTGGCTAGAAAGCTGTACCTGTTATTGCTTTTAAACGTGATGTCATAATCGCTTTAAATTGTTAGTTCATATCCAGAAATTCATAGTTTTTGTCTTCTATTTTATATGATTTTAGGATTGTATGTAATTTGGGCATATATTCCACATGAATGGTTAAATTTAATTGGAATAACGTACCTACCCAGCAAGTAAGCTTTTTTTAAAAAGGTTGTTCTTTTATCTGTTAATTGAATTCCAGTGTCACAGTAAGCTGGGGAGACGCTAATCAGTCTAATCTCCATTAACAGTCTTTTAATTGCTGCTAGGTTAGAAGACTCTGTTAAGGCGAAAATAAAGTGACTCAGGGAATATTATCTTTTCCTAATCTTCGCGTATGCCGCAACAGTTTTCAGCCTCGATCCAATTATGGATGAGTTCTACCACCAATTAAAAGACATCGGATAAGCGAGTTCGACATAGTATAGTACTAGAATGAGCTTTGAATATACAAATCAGGTGTCTAGGCATGAAAATATTCGTTTGAGTGATCAATGAAGACTCAGGTCAAATGACGTTGACTGCATCCTCCAGCTTTGCGTAGACCACGTCCTTTTTCAGACCAGCATTAACTTTCGGCGGTCACCACTGATGTTCTACCTGACGTCTTTCCTCTTCAAATCAATCCTGGATTGGAATTGATCACATTGCAATCAGCTACCAATGACGTCATTGTGTACAAGACACGATTTTATTAATATTATTATCATTAGCTTTATTCAATACTGATGTGTGGGCGAGAATGAAAATGATTGGTTATCTCGATGAGTCAGACATTAGATAGGATGACTGCTGTTATGTGTTATATAGATTCCCCTATCCTTATTACGTATTGACTGTTCCTTGTTGATGGACACTTATTGATTGACTGTTCTTTGTGTCGGATTTTGGTGTGGAATATATTGACGTTATAGTCAGGCTAATCTCATGTTCTTGATCTGAGTTCTGTTGAAGTCCTGTAGAATAGACACTGGGTGGGAATCTAGTGTAGATATTCGTCTAGGTAAATTAACGTCCCACATACGTGTAAGAAGTAAAAGGACTGTTATAACAAGAACCCCTACTGTTATAACAAGAATATTCTCCTTTAAGCATATAACAATTGGCGACGGTGATTAAAACGGATCTACACTTACGTATTCGGTTAAAGTGAATTTTGTATCAAGAAAATGGATGATTTGAAAACCTTATTGCAACAGCAAAATACTCTTATCGAATTATTAGTCAAAAATATGTCGATATCCTCAAAAACAAATGTGTCTAATTCCACTATGACTCCGGATTCTATTGCTAATTCAATAGCTGAATTCAGATTTGATCCACAAAGTGGAGTTACTTTTGAGGCATGGTTTAAATGCCATGAGGATTTGTTTAATAATGAATGTAAAGAGTGGGACGAAAGTTCAAAATTGAGATTATTATTACGAAAGCTCGGAGTGTCCGAACATGAAAAATTCTGTAGTTTTATCCTCCCAAAGAAGCCATCCGACATAACGTTCAAAGAAACAGTTGAATGCCTGACTCGTATATTTGGTGGACGGTCATCAATTTTTCACACTAGATACCAGTGTCTTCAACTCGTAAAGAAAGTACAGGACGATTACGTGACGTATGCAAGCATCGTGAACCGGGAATGTGAACGGTTCCGTTTACAGGAAATGTCCTCAGATCAGTTCAAATGCCTTATTTTTGTATGTGGATTACAATCTCCAGTAGATGCAGATATTATAGCACGGATTCTGGCGAGAATCGAACAAGATCCTAATATCAGTCTACAATCAGTATCTGAAGAGTGTCAAAGGATGGTTAATTTAAAGCATGACACGAAACTCGTAGAAAGGAACAATGAACACGTGGTAGTTAAAGCCTTACGTAATTCTTTTAATGGAAATAAAAATTCGAACTCCCAGAAAATCCCAAATCAAGTGAAACACAAAACGTCATGTTGGCGATGTGGTAAGTCTCATTCTGCCAAAGTTTGCTACTTTAAAAAACGAGTATGCTTTCAATGTGGTAAATATGGTCATGCTCAAGTATGTTGTAAAAGTAGGCCGAAGGTTTCTGACCGTGAGCATAAGTTCCGCAAAGGAAATAAGATGCAGGCTTCAAAAGAACTACCACATAACCGCAAGTTAGAGGAAGATTGCGTGTTTGCTTCTATATCACTTGAACCGGAAATAGAAAGAGTGTTCTGTGATGCTACCAGTAACGGCGGAAGCAGTTAAAGAAGCCACGGGTAGTGATCCTCTACTTAAAAGAATAAAAGAAGCTGTTTTAAAGGGTTGGAAACAAAGCTGATCGAGAGTTTCACCAATTTTTCTTGAGACGTGAGTCTATATCGATTTATGATAATTGTTTAATGTATGGTGAACGTGTTGTTATCCCTAAATTTCTTCAGCTTTTTGTGCTTAAACAGTTTCACATTGGTCATCCGGGAATGAACAGAATGAAAGCAGTTATGCGTAGTTATGTCTATTGGCCATTCATGGATAAGGCTGTGGAAGGATACGTAGAGAGATGTCGGCGATGTGCCGAAGTTGCAAAAGATCCACCGAAAGTAGAATCTCAGCCATGGCCAGAAACAACAAAACCTTGGGTCCGGATACACGTTGATTATACTGGACCGATAAGTGGACAATATTTTTTGGTGGTGGTAGATTCGTACTCGAAGTGGCCTGAAATTTATGTGGTACGAAGACCATCTACGTCTGAAACACTGCTACATCTGAGACAACTATTTGGTAGGTCTGGTACACCTAATGTTTTGGTTTCACATAACGGAACGCAGTTCACGTCGTTAGAGTTTACGGAGTTCTGTAAACAGAGTGAAATCGAACACGTTAGAACTCCACCGTATCACCCTCAGCTAAACGGGCAAGAAGAGAAATTTGTTGATATACTTAAGCGAGCTCTCTCAAAGATGGGGGAGAAGGCGACGTAGAAGAGGCTCTGCAACAATTTCTCATTTCTTATAGAATTACGCCAAGTCCAAACTGTCAAGATGGGAAATCTCCAGCCGAAATAATGTTTGGCCGACCGATTAGAACATTTTTTGATGTTTTGAACCCGAAAGACAGAATGAGTGGACTACAAAAAAATAAGAAAGGGAATTGCCCGAAAATTCGAGAGTTCAAAGTAGGTGACTCAGTCTATGCACGGGATTTCCGGCCTGGCAAGCCAAAATGGATATTTGGGTTTATAAAAAAACGACGTGGTACAGTATTATATCAAGTGATGGTCGAAAATACACTAATTATTAGACATGTAAATCAACTGCGAGATAGAAAATGTGTTTATGAGTCATCTAAACTCAAACCATTACCAATGCAAGTATTATGTGATACATTTGATATTCCACCACCACCACCACAAGTTGAAATGAGAAAAAATGATCTAGAATCAGAAGTTAGACGAAGGTCATTCAGGAAACGGAAACAAACGAATTTTTTTCAAATAGACCCTAAAGTGAAATCATACGATCAAACTTCACGAGGGTGGTGATGTGTGGGCGAGAATGAAAATGATTGGTTATCTCGATGAGTCAGACATTAGATAGGATGACTGCTGTTATGTGTTATATAGATTCCCCTATCCTTATTACGTATTGACTGTTCCTTGTTGATGGACACTTATTGATTGACTGTTCTTTGTGTCGGATTTTGGTGTGGAAATATTGATATTGTTATAAACTTGAAAGAGAGGATGATGGTTATAACAGTAGGGGTTCTTGTTATAACAGTCCTTTTAAGTAATATTAGTTCCTGATACACTCTTGGCATTATAACATGTAGGTTGATACCGGGGTCGACCAATTTTAATCCAAGTTTCTCTAGAAATTAATGTTATGTCAGACCCAGTATCGACTTGCAGTTTGACCAGTTTGCCATCGAAAAAGATGGTTACATACTTCCTTTTGGATAAGAATTGGTCATTTTTTGTGGCCAGAACATTTGAGTTATGCGGTATTGATTTTGAAGTATGCATCTTATTTCCTTTGCGGAACTTATGCTCACGGTCAGAAACCTTCGGCCTACTTTTACAACATACTTGAGCATGACCATATTTACCACATTGAAAGCATACTCGTTTTTTAAAGTAGCAAACTTTGGCAGAATGAGACTTACCACATCGCCAACATGACGTTTTGTGTTTCACTTGATTTGGGATTTTCTGGGAGTTCGAATTTTTATTTCCATTAAAAGAATTACGTAAGGCTTTAACTACCACGTGTTCATTGTTCCTTTCTACGAGTTTCGTGTCATGCTTTAAATTAACCATCCTTTGACACTCTTCAGATACTGATTGTAGACTGATATTAGGATCTTGTTCGATTCTCGCCAGAATCCGTGCTATAATATCTGCATCTACTGGAGATTGTAATCCACATACAAAAATAAGGCATTTGAACTGATCTGAGGACATTTCCTGTAAACGGAACCGTTCACATTCCCGGTTCACGATGCTTGCATACGTCACGTAATCGTCCTGTACTTTCTTTACGAGTTGAAGACACTGGTATCTAGTGTGAAAAATTGATGACCGTCCACCAAATATACGAGTCAGGCATTCAACTGTTTCTTTGAACGTTATGTCGGATGGCTTCTTTGGGAGGATAAAACTACAGAATTTTTCATGTTCGGACACTCCGAGCTTTCGTAATAATAATCTCAATTTTGAACTTTCGTCCCACTCTTTACATTCATTATTAAACAAATCCTCATGGCATTTAAACCATGCCTCAAAAGTAACTCCACTTTGTGGATCAAATCTGAATTCAGCTATTGAATTAGCAATAGAATCCGGAGTCATAGTGGAATTAGACACATTTGTTTTTGAGGATATCGACATATTTTTGACTAATAATTCGATAAGAGTATTTTGCTGTTGCAATAAGGTTTTCAAATCATCCATTTTCTTGATACAAAATTCACTTTAACCGAATACGTAAGTGTAGATCCGTTTTAATCACCGTCGCCAATTGTTATATGCTTAAAGGAGAATATTCTTGTTATAACAGTAGGGGTTCTTGTTATAACAGTCCTTTTACTTCTTACACGTATGTGGGACGTTAATTTACCTAGACGAATATCTACACTAGATTCCCACCCAGTGTCTATTCTACAGGACTTCAACAGAACTCAGATCAAGAACATGAGATTAGCCTGACTATAACGTCAATATATTCCACACCAAAATCCGACACAAAGAACAGTCAATCAATAAGTGTCCATCAACAAGGAACAGTCAATACGTAATAAGGATAGGGGAATCTATATAACACATAACAGCAGTCATCCTATCTAATGTCTGACTCATCGAGATAACCAATCATTTTCATTCTCGTCCACACATCAGATAACTATTTGTTAGTTGGTTGACATTAGAATCACGGATCGTATTATCCCCTATCACCCTTGTTTTCGAAAATGCAGAATGTGAAAAAAATTTGGCAATTGGTGATTGGTGAATTTGTTTTTGAAAGTGTGTGCTCTAGTGTAAATGAATAAACAATTTGTCACCTGTAATAATTGTTTAATTGGTTGTAAATGGTGCAGTTTTGTAATCTGATTCGTTCAAATCTAACTAGAATGAAGTACTTTTATTAGATGTAAGAATTGACATTTTTCCATCCGATTATTATTTCCAAAAATTAACTATTTTCGCATTGTTCCATCTTAGTTTTGTAAAAAAATTTAACTTCGAAAAAAACAAAAACAAATCCTTTTCATTACCCTGCTATACTGCTGTTAGTGAATGTATATCGGGATGACTTCTTTTTTTATGAAGTAGAAATGCAACTACAGTTATCAGTTATCGTGACAAGAGTAATAATAATGTGTAGATCATTGAAAGTTAATTTTTGAAAAAAATGAGTTTTTACTAATAGTTGATAATGGTGATTATTGAATTTCAAAAAAGGTAGTCAAATGTTTAATGCACAATAAGTGAACAGATTTTCATTTAAGTATTCCCATAAGTTAATTTAACACATAGTTCGCTCTTTTAATAAACGTTATATTCGTGTAAATATATGAATAAATCATGATGAAGAGAAAGTGAATGGGGCATGCCGAAGTCACGCTAACCGTTAAAGATGTGTAAATGAAGCAACTTTTACGCTATCTGAAATTAGTAATTATATCTGAGAAAAAAGCAAATAATCTTTATAATTCAGTTATTTTGCAAACCGTTATTCTTAATACCAAAAAGTTGATCATTTTAGCTTTGAAAAGGGTGTCGAAAATGAACGCAATACTGTTATCAAGGTTTTTTTGTAAATCCATTAAAAGCATAAAATATGTTGATCTGTACATTATTTGTAGTTGATCACTTATTAATGATCACCGAAAATACATGTTAGTGTACTCAGTCTTGTAATACGGTAATTGTATTTGTGAGGTGGGCATAATATTTTTTGGCAGCTAATGTTAACAGCCAATGTTTTTTTAAGTGCACAGCCTTTCAAATGAATGATCTCAATTTTTTATTTTCATTAGTAAATAACATTGTAAACGTTAATTAATTAGAAAGACTGAAATTATATTTCCAAATCAACAGTTCCCTTTGTTAAACATACTAGACGAACAATGATAAACTGTATGTGCATTTTCCGTCACAAAGGGAAAATAATTACTCTTAAACTGTCAAACACTAAATCGCTGAATGTTGAAAAAAGTAGCCTTTTTTGACAAGCATATGTGTAATATTGTTTGAATAAAGTGTCAATGAACAAGCCTATGTCTAGCGAAATAAATTTCTATCTCAATTATATGACTTAATGTGAATAAGGTCAATTGTATCAAGTAATCATTATGTATTTAGAATATCGTATTTCAATATGTTAAGTTAAACTGTTCATTTATTTATCAAATGTCTAAATGACATTTATCACTGTATCGAATTTTTGCAATGCAGTGATAAATCTCATAAGAAAAATTATTATTACATTTCGTATGTTCCATTATTATTATTATTATTATTATTATTATTATTATTATTATTATTATTATTATTATTATTATTATTATTATTATTATTATTAATGACTTGTTAGACATGTAAGTCTTCATTATATGACGTTGTTTTCTGTACGGAATCGTTTACTGAAACCTTAAATTTGAAAAACCTTAAAAGCTGTTGACAAAATTATAAAGTGACTGATGATCACTTTATTATTATTAATCTAGAAAAAGTGATTTTACATCTTCATTACTATGGAATTGTGATGAATGATCAGTGTCTGTTCACTTGACCTCCCAATACAATTTATCTTGTTGTACTAGTGAACTGATCTTACTACATTTCTCTACTGTACCTATTAACCAAATCATATGAATGTGAAATGAATTATTGATGGTTTCATGACTCCTCCTTAAAATGGAAACAAGAAATTCAAACAAAATTTAAATCAAATTGTGGGTGGCCCTGAAAAGGGCCTTTACTCGGCCTCTACACAGATCTTTAGGTCCTGATCAATGACTCCACTATGCGTCCGTGACAGCGCCGCACATGGGACAGTTGAACCCAGGTGATACTTCTGTTGGGTCGTAGGCACAGAACGAACGAAACATAGCGTTGCATGGACAAAAAATCCAAGGACTTCCATCAGCTATTTCACTGGGCGGCTATACATTTTCTGTTTCTGTGACTACGTGAGGAACAACAGAGCCTGTAATTTGCACGTTACTGACGTCCATATTGTGAAGAAAATTATCTATAACGATAAGTACAGAGGTTTTATACGAATTTCAAGAATTACATAACCAATTATCATAGTTTTAAAGCATGAGTCAATTGAAGCTAGACCACCATGGAAAACCTGGAAACACTGGACGGCCGTTTCGTCCTATTATGGGACACCTCAGCAGTGCGCATCCACGAACCCGCTCGCGCGAGATTCGAACCCAGGACCTACCAGTTTCGAGCCGAAGCCCTTAACCGATAGACCACTGAGCTGGCATCCAACGGTGTTAATGTCTAACTTCAACTGATCCACGAAGGACGAAACGGCCGTCCAGTGTTTCCAGGTTTTCCATGGTGGTCTAGCTTCAATTGACTCATGCTTTAAAACTATGAAAAAATACTAAATCTCCACAAAACCCCCTCTGATAATAACCAATTATAACGCATTTACAACTAGGAATTTCATTGGACGAAACGGATTGAAAAAAAAAGGAAAATGGAGTGAAAATTTTTTGATTAAGGGGGACAAAAAAATTTATTTAAAAAAAATGGACGTGACCCTAATGTTATTCTTGTTAGTTAATTAAAGTTCGATGGTACTATACCATGTTCGAATACAGTAATCCAAACAGATTTATTCATTAATTGAGTCTAACCTAAGCCGTTATGCCAGTAACATTATATTCACTTCATATTTAATGCTTTCTTTGTACTCTAATTATTCATATAATTACATCCTGAATTTGTTAAATAAACTTTGCCGAAGTATGATATTTAAAAAATTTTAGACACTGGTCAGTTACTGCACCAATTTCACTACTGATTTTATGTATATCTGGTCTTTTTGCTTACATTTGGAATAATCGTTCACTCATGCAACCGCTTACATCGATTTATCAAATTAGAGGTATGTAGATTTCGAAATGAAAATGCTTTTCAAAACATTTTTTATTGATCAATAAATTCATGCACAGCTTGTGTACTAAATTCTTTCTAGGTATTTGTTGGTGCTAAGAAATGAGAATTTTGTTCTACACTCTATATTTTGGAAGCTTACACAGCGAAATCAGGATATGTTATTGCGACATCCGTTGTTAGCTTCTTAATCAATCATCTAATGCACTTCAAAAGCCATGTGAAGAGAATGTGTCATTTAATTAAATAAAAGCGAGTAGACTTTCAGCTCAACGATCTTTCTTACAATGATCTAGTGCTTAATTTTTGTCCCTAGTCAGTAGATTTATATAAACATATAAAATTCATTGTAGAGTTTTGAATTCGTGATTCGTTACAACTTATTTTACGTTTTGCTACTTGTGACGGTGGAGGAATTTATCAAAGGTACGTCGGATCATATTTATGTTTGACTTCAACATCTCAGCGATAAATGAATTTGCATTATACTTCTTGATAACGCTTTAATTCGTTTATATTTTAATTCCAACTCTCCCTCGTTTGCTATATTCAATCATTTCTACAGCCTTCTATTGAAAGGAGTGTTACTCCTTTGTTGCTGCAACCAAATATCCTATCTAATAATACTTTTATTTCAGTGTTTGTGCGTTGATAAGGCTTACAAATCGAATTTTATAAGAAATCACAGGCTTATGCTTGACAATATATTTCCGATTCAATAATATAATCTATAAGTCGACAAAAGAATCATGAATGAAATCATTAACATCTGGATTGACTGAAGAGACAGTGAAATCAACCCAATAATTCACTGAGAAAAATCATGGTTAGTTATAATATCAGAAGTTATGCAAAAGGGGATGACAACCAAAATAAGTATGCAAACGATGACAGAGTGAAGGTTAATAACAACCAGTCAAGATCAATGTCTATAGAACAATGTGTTACTCATATGAGGAGAAATTCGGATAGCTCACAGTCAGATTAATATTGATTGTGTTGTCCAAAAGGACGAAGAAAGCTTTGCGACCAAATAGAACTCCACCAAAATCATCCACTTGAATTATAAATCCTCATCTCAAGATTTATTATATTCTAACAATCTTGTTATTGTTTCAGATTCGCTTTCAATGTATGCTCGAAATTCAACTGATAGTTATGTCACAGATCAACAGTCGTCTAATTCAAACGTATCAAAACCAGTCGAGTTATTGAGACCATTATCGATAATCCCCCCTGTGTATGATTTGGATCATATTTGGGTAACGAGTGAGTTGTATTTAAAGACAAATAAAATTACCACCTCAAGCATTATTGACCATGATATTATGAAGTATTAACAAAACAAAAAGGATAAGATTTCGTTTTTGTGACTTATTAGATATTGATTGTTTCAAATAATATTTTGAATCTTATTTATTGACGTTCCCTACAAATCCTATCTGTATAAAGTTTTCCGACAATGTAAATATACCTTTTTATTTAAGGCTAAGGATGTCACGTTCTTTTCGATTGTGTTTTTCAGCTAATGGTCAGTTTTTTGAATAGTTATACTTCAACAAATTAATTTTCATCACTGATTTTTTTAAGACACCATGTATATTTTCATGTTTTTTTCTGTTTTGACCATACTCTAATCGGACGAAAAGTGGAACAACAGTGTTTAGGCGCTTAAGAATACAAAGATCCATACCCCCTTCGACTCATATTAATCTAATTAATTATTGTCTAAATTTCCAAATAAAGAATACAATACTTTATATGTTAAGTTGTTTTTATTTATAATTCTATGCAAATGTTGAAAATTTATATCAGATTAAAACAAACATTAAGTTATGCTAATTATTTGAGTTTTTAGTTATGAATTGACGTTACTATGTACTTTTTCCAAATATTGAAAAACATTCTCATATTGAATTGTCGTAATAGTCTTTTGGCAAGTTGAGTTCTAAAGTATCATCGTCTTCTAGTAAATCTATTAAAATATCAAAAATATAAAATAATGAAATTGAGCTTGTTTTGATCACTTTTAAGAAAATCTTCTCATTCATGAAAGGTAATTAAACACTTAGTTATTGGTTAGAAACATCATCCAAGATGGATATTCATCTTATTTTGGACTCATCAATTGCATACACTTTGGTGTTCACTTCAAAGTAGTAATAATAATAATAGTTAAATTTTGAAAATGATTGGTGGATCATCAACGATTCAGTAGTGGATAAGTTTTTGATCCTAACCGTTTGATTGTGTAGATTATTTTGTAAGAAGACTTCTATGGAGTGATTTGTTCAGAGTTGATTAGGTACCCGTATGTTGAACTGGTGATTGTTTTGCATTATCCTTTCAAAAGCCATGTTAGGTAATGTTCAGAGATGAATTCGAAAAATAATCGCTTCGTGCAGTCAATGTAACTTACTGTATAGGCGCAAGCAAATTTATGGATGTACATCGATATGGATTAAAGCGGAGGTCCATATCTTCACAAATAATGAAAGTATCATCCATAGATCTCTTACATGAATGAAACCTCCCAATTATTTGTACCGTATTTTCTAGATTGGCCATGAAAAAAATCAACTAAAGGAGGCGCAGTAATAAACTCACTACAACTCAATCAGTTTGTCTATAGTATCATTATTAAATTTGAATTAAACGTAGAGGGTACATCGTAGAAATAGTTCTGTTAGATAACGCTTCGGGATATAAATATCAAATTTTTTATTTTCGATATCGTCACATAAAAAGCAAATAGCTTTTGTGCGCCGAATATTTGTAAAGCGAGGAGTGACATCCAATGAGATCATTTTTCTAACATTTAGATTGATATTTTTAATTGAGCTGACAAAATCAAAGGAGTTGTGTCTATTGGTGTGATTAATTGATCAACTATTTCAATATGTTTAACATTTATCTAGCTATCTTTATTACTACAGCGAAGAATAGCTTCAGAAATTAAGTTGCCCCGTCATTATTTTCAAGAAACAAGTCCTAATAGTCTGAATGTTATATGAGTTTTTTGTTAGATCTAAATTAACACAGATTACCAGTTTGTTTAAGGACAATCATCAACGTATTCATTTTATAAATATTACAGAGCATTGCGTAACAAAACACTGAAGTCAAAACTCACATCCCATAATTTGCACAAACTTCCTGAAGTAGAAATGCAATTTATAAATAGATATCATGTATTCTTGAATTATAATTTATGGTGTAGTAGATTGTAAGGACGGCCCGTCGGTAGACTCTAGAAAACCCTAAGAAGCCCAGGATCAGCCGCAGACATTCCATCCAATCACGGCTAGGGGAATGTTCTAGAAATGCCAACGTGGAGATTCTCCATTGGATGGATTAGTTTGATACCTATGTGCTTATTGGTTGACCTAAATGATAATTTATTTTCAGCCAATAACTATAAATACACGAGATTTCTGTGCTATATTTTGACATTGTTCGGAGCAATAAACTTCCTGCTTACCAGTCTTTGTCTTCTCTCTCTTTGCGACGTTGCGGGTTCTATCGTTTAAGTAGTCAAGTAGTTCGCGGCATATTAAGAATCAAGGCTCTAGATATAACATAGATGAATTGAAAAATTTTGTTCGATATAACCCTCAGCAATAAAAAGTCAAACATCATAGAAATGAATGATCGGAACGTAGGTAGTTTGAAATTGAGACATATTTATGGGATTTCGGTGTTGATAAATATATATTTTTCTTTGGATAGTTGCTATTTAATATTCTCAATGTTCACTAGAACATTCTGAGGATAAATGCGATTCAAGTTCGTTGTCTAGATAGATCATATGAATCCTGGTATAATAAATCATCATAAGTAAATAACTAGACGGATAACTGGAATTGGTTATATGTAATTATATATGCAGTTGAACAATTAATGATTTCTTTCAGGAAAATAATCTCCACTTAGGCCCACAAACAAATGCTTATTCATGACATTATTCGTTATATATAATGTTTTGCTGTTTAAATTTGAAACAATCACTCTATTTGCTATTGGTGTCCAGTGTTTCTTTATGATACGTCTTGTTGATTGAATGCTGTATTTGAATCCTAAGCTAGTTTCGTAACCCCCAAGCTAGAACTACACAACGACTTGAACACGAGAGATAAGGCACAAATATGCGGGAAGCACTTTACTCCAAAAGGTTCGTTCATGTACAGATAATATGGGGTTTTTATAGTATTTTAAAAGTCCTTGGGTTTTACTGAGAATTGTAGAATACTGCTAAACAAAGTAGTGTATTAATCAGCCAATCAGAATCTCAACATGTGACTTTTCATTTTCTCTATGTTACTAACATAACTTCTAATCAAACGCTGATTGGATGAAATGCTCCTTAATGTTTCATGAGCTTGTTCATGTGGATTGCGAGAAATTTGCAGGATCATCCCAACACTTTACGTCAATATTTTTGGCGAATAAAGATATTCATTACTATTTTGAACCTTCATTAAAATATTTTTAAATGGAAAGGCAAAGCATTCATGATTTTGATGGAGTTCTGTTCTCTGGACTGGATGGCATGGTCGTGAAGCTCTCATCGTTATTCGGAACATCATCAACACGAAATTTAGGTAGATGTGGTGTTCTAGTTTTTCCACATATGGCTCACAGCATGTCTCGTAGATCTCGATCTTGATTGGTTATTGTTGACCTTCATCCTGTCTTTGCTTACTTCTTTATTTTGGTTGTATCTCTCATTGATTCGATTTCCGATCCTATATTTATCCGAAATTTTTCTGATTGGTTAACAAGTTGGATGAAGAAATTCGAACACTTCACTTCTACCTGGAGTTTTTGTTGATGATGCCGTTCAGAATAACGAAGAAGGCTCCACTACCAAACATCCAACTCTGAGAACAAAACTCCATCAAAATCATCCACCTGAGCTAGAAATCTCCGCCATCTCATAAGCGTTGATGAATTATACGCACTGTTTTGTTCATGTATATTTCTAATGTGATTTTTTCTAATCGATCACTCTATATTCTTGAATTGTGATTTCCACCTCTGAATTAATTTGTGTAGATGGATTTAATGACAGTTCTTCTAGATCACCTAGATTTTTATTTTAAAATTGTCTCATTTTCTTACTAGTGATAATAATAATAATCTAGCCTTGTAGATCACGACTTAAAAGCAATATTAAGATTATAATCAACTTTATGAATCAGTGAAACGCCTATGAAAAACAACTCCCAAATCGAAAGATTGAGTGAAGTGATCATCTGGTTTATTTGGTTGAAGAAATAATTATGGGGCTGAAGAATAGAACAGTAAACTTACTCGACTATGTAGTATAGGGGACTGATTAAAACAAATGATGGAAAACACATCGTGATGAACAGTCAGTTGAGAGGAGAATTCGAAATAGATAGAAGTAGTATATACTGTCTACAACAAAAAACGCGTATTACACATATTTGAGCTATCATACACTAATTATATCGGATTTACATATTATAAGAATGTATGTGATTGAACTTGACGCTAAATCACCTACACGTATGAATCAAAGTACATGGTGCAGTTTGTAATTCAATACAAATTAATTGTTATTGAATCCTTTTTATCTGTAATCCCAATGTGTGACAGACATCAAGTCATATGGGCCTCTGATGTATGAATATTTCACTGTTATCAACTTCACTTCGTTTCTTACTTAGAATCCTGAAAATTTCCAAGATCTTTTAAAGTCCTAAAAGTTAGTTAATCTATCTAATTATATTCACATGTGCATGTAGATTTGTAGTCATACGATGAAATTATAGGAAAAGGTTGATAAAATACTCTCTCAATGTGACTGTATGGCTTTCTTTCAACACATAAAGTCAGTCAACAATCAGACTTATAAATCACTAATACTATAGACCTATTAGACGTTAGCATTTCTTTATATTGTGGAGTTTACCTTATATCGTGAAGGTTAAAGTTTTGATCTTGTGTTGAACTTGTAGTGCCGTGCTTCGATCATAGTTCGCTTCGATAACCGTTATTAATACCAATCTTAACGGTGTATAATATCAGAAGGCAAAGGGAAGCGGCAACTACATTTTTATTGATAATCGATGCAGACCAGAAAGCTGTGGGCACATGAGCAAGTGTGAGCGAGCGAAGCAAAGATGATGCATAGTGGAGATGGCTGGGATGTCAACTCATTTTAAGCAAGCGTTAACTAACATTTATAGACAGGCAAAAATGAGTGACAGACATATGATGAATAAGATACGAAGTGTACACATATGCGCTCATATAAAAAGTACTCAAGGTTAATAAGCAAATGATTAACAAGATCAAAAGATGACTCAATGTACAGGTGAATTGGCTTGGTCAGTAACTAGAATAAAGTATATGGGCCTAACATATGAACTGGTACTACATAGCCCCCTTGTAGAATATAGCACATTTATAAAAAAATGTCTGTTTTCGAAAAATAACACTGAAGCGGTATGAGGATAACGTCAAAATGTGGGAAAAAATGGTACAATACCTGATGAATTACAGCGTCATGTGAGGGGTGAGCGTATTAAGCGAAAGTGTCATACTTATGTAAAAAGGAACATGAATATTGTCAAAGTGCGGACAAAAATAGGGATGCTAGCATGTGATTATGAGTACATTAGTAAGCGTTCGAAAAAATTTAACATGAATTTATGTAGTGACTGTCCGAATGATAAAATAACATGTTCGTATGAGCGATTTGAAATATAGTGAAAATAGAGTATAACAGTAATTGCTCTGTGGTGCTGATTGAATATGAGGATAAATAACAGTGAAATATGTTCTGATAAGCTGCAGTCGAGTAAATAGAGTCGATTGGCGATGAGTGGATTCGAATTTACACGATTGGAGTTTACGTGGGATAAAAAATAATCCAGCCTTACGATGATGACTGCATCAGCGGTTGATATTCATTGCTGTACTGCAATTGATAATGACAATAAAGTCAGTGTACGTTGTCGTGTGCGTCAAGTTATCGTTAAACATGTATTAGTAGAATGACCAGAGGAACAGGATAGTGACTGCTTAGACGAGATATGCGGAGTCGTATTCCTTTTTGGTCATGCAGCCTAGCGTGGTTTGTGTAGTTTGAGGGATATGCGCTCAACCTCATTTGTTACGAAACAGTACTAAGGCATTATAAAAATACCAATACATATGATTATCGATATCAGCGAGTGAGACTGACTTGAATGTGACGAACAAGAGTGTAACTTTGAGAGACTAGCTCTAAACTCTATGTTCTGGTGTACAGTACAATGGAAATAAAATATTAATTGCAGTAATCGAATTGTGATTATCGGTAATGGATGATGCAGCATTCAGATATACATGTGAATGAATAAATAATATGAACATAATCATTACTAATCGGCTGGTAATGCGGCGTCAAATACTTGGTTTATGTATAGACATTAAAGTGGGGATCATCGCGAAACAAAAATTGCGGAAGTTCGGTTTCGGTTGTCGCTGCAAGTGTAGGAAACGATGGTTGCTGCGTACCAATGAAATGAATGAACATTAGTTGTCTATCGAGAACATAAGTTCCTACTATCGGGAGTATGACTCCAAACTTATGTCTATGATAGAGTGTAATATTAGACCGAAAATGACATGAAAAAAAATTGGAACGAACTCACTTGAATCAGGAAAATTGTACGTCATTGGATAATAAAAATAATCCAGTGAGTTTCGAATATCATAACGTGTAATGTCCATATCATTATAATTTGTTCGATTAGTGATATGACTGCGTATGTCATAGTTTAATGTTAATACTAACAAAAATAATAATTCCACATTAGATGATGATATGACATTATTGTAATAATGAGCATATGATGATTATTAGAATCAACGAAATATGTCGTCGGCGGTTTCATTTTTGATTTGTGTTCACTCGTTGCGGTTGCCGATTCTGTCGCGTGTTCCAAATACGGCGTGCCAATTATGTTGTGAGTTCGTACGTCGAGGTTGTCGATTCTGGTCGATGTTCGTTCGGCGAGACATCCAATTATGTTTTCGCGTTCGTAAGTCGGGATCGCTAATTGTGTTGCGTGTTCGTACGTCGGGATTACCAGTTTTGTAGTGTAGTGCTTCGTTAATCGATCGTCTTGATAACCGTTATTATAACAATCTGAACGGTGTATAATATCAGAAGGCAAAGGGAAGCGGCAACTACATTTTTATTGATAATCGATGCAGACCAGAAAGCTGTGGGCACATGAGCAAGTGTAAGCGAGCGAAGCAAAGATGATGCATAGTGGAGATGGCTGGGATGTCAACTCATTTTAAGCAAGCGTTAACTAACATTTATAGGCAGGCAAAAATGAGTGACAGACATATGATGAATAAGATACGAAGTGTACACATATGCGCTCATATAAAAAGTACTCAAGGTTAATAAGCAAATGATTAACAAGATCAAAAGATGACTCAATGTACAGGTGAATTGGCTTGGCCAGTAACTAGAATAAAGTATATGGGCCTAACATATGAACTGGTACTACAAACTATACGTCAAAGATTAAAGTACAATCCAAAGACCTGACGCTGACATTCCACAATCTCTAGGATGAAACAGATTGATACTGTGTCTAGTCTTTTTCAGATGATATTCTGCTGAAAAATGTTGATTTAGAAAGGAGAAATCGGGTGACAAAAAATAGGGGATAACCGAGCACCATGATTCAAAAAGAATTTCGATATATTAGTGGATAATACAAATATCTGTATACGAACACGAAAAACAAAGACGTGTTATACATACATTTGTAAGTCACTGAGTAGTGACCAATGTTATCTTTACTTAGCCCTTTATTCTTGATCGAATTCTATAGATTAGTTTGAAAGGTGAACATTATTCTAAATGACTCGATATCCAATAGGTCGCTTGAGACACGGATAACAAAATGGTAACATCTCAAACCATGAGGCTGGATGAAACTTATCTGAATCCCACAGGAAGCACCAGCTCACTCAAGAATAGAAATATTCCTTGCTAACAATTGAAATCCATCACAATGCTAAGTCCAATGTTTCCTAATGACAATCTTCTTTTACGCTTCCCTATAAAGCTTCAGATATATCATTATTGAACTACATACAGTAAAAAAATTAGATTACGACAAGATTTGAGATATTGAAGTCATCATAGCAGATAAATAGATAGGGTGACAGATCCTAAAATAAAAAACTAAATTTTCATTTCTCTAAATATAAATGGAATATTCCAAGTTAAACCGGCATCTTACAGATTTAAAGTCAATGTAACATGATTATTCTATTTTAGCCACCGTAATTCTCTAACGTTTGAAATTGAGAACCTTTTACACCGAAAAGTGAGTTAACATCTAGTTCATTAAGATTAATTTCATCAATTATTTATTTCAAGAACTAATTCATAAAACTTTGTTGAAAGATGCAATTTTAATGTTAAACTACTACAGAAACTGAACTGACAGACTCACTTTACAATCCACAAAGGAACCCTAAATGATAAGGGAATTTGAAAGATACATCATTCACTGAGTTGCCAATCAAATACTCAGGGGTTAGATATTAGTCGAATTATTCAATATGGAAATCAGATGTAAAAGTTACAGTTTTCTTTGTGTATTATTCAAACTGACTAGTCAATTGTACAATTAGACAGAAATATTTAGAAGAAACTTTATAGGATTTCATTAGGGAAATAGAACTTCCATAGACATTATTCAATGTAATAATAATAATAATTGACGTATAGTTCAAATATTAAAATCTAACAAATGTTGAATAGATCCAATTGGTAACGATAAATATTAAAAAGTATCCAGATATTGTTTCACTTACTTTGGGTTATTGATTAAGAAACTTTATTAAGAAAATTTAAAAAAGTTTGGTGTCAACATTTTATGAAGCTTCTTTCTATTTAGGCTTACAATAAATCTTACTTGGTAATTGTGTGATAAGTGATTTATTCTCATTTTAATGACATTATATATCATGAGCAAAGATGGATGGTGGTTAGCAGTGGAATATAAGAAATACATTTCTTTTTAATTGGGATTCTTTAGCTGGATGCGCCTGCATTCCAGTGTTGATATCCACACAGTGACTCAAACCCAGTACCGTCCACTTTCATTGTCTTTCTGGAAAGTGTTGTTAGTGTAACTCACAAATCAAGTGAGCTGATCGAATTTCTATGCAGTTGACTTATAGGTGGATCTTGATTATTTTTTAATGTAAAAGTTTGCTACTAATAGTTACGCTTATGGTACTCGCATACGTATTTCAATTCAACGTGAAACGATACAATCTATGATGTCACGAACTACAAAACGAAGCAAAATCATCTTCAACGTCTACAAATTCTGTATCATGTTTAATACTTTATAAGTTTCTGATAATTTTCGTTTTCTTGCTACACTATCCAGACTTATCAAAAGTACTGATTACTTTGTAAGTATTTTGAATGTTGCTTAGATAACTGACCCTACTGTAAATGCTTTAGATCTTTCCAGTTCGAATATTTAAGGGTTGTTTTAGTGCAATCCTTAATTCTAGCTGTCATAACATAAAAAGAGTGGGATCATCATATCATGGTGTTTGACTAACAATTTATGTTTTTTGAAATGTTTTGGTTATACCTGACTGGATGATAGGGATTGACATAAACAAAATATCTATTAAGTTAACCACTATCCCACGGAGAATAGGGCTCACTGAATTATGTAAAATATACATTTTACTATTATTGTCAATTTTCATAATTCTAAAATCATAGAATGGTGTAAATAACTCTTTATCTATAAAAGATAATCAAACAAGACATCGTGTGTGAATCGCCTGGTTCCTGCCGTTAAATAACATGAGATATTCGTTGTTGAAATACACGATGTTGGTATAAATGGGTTACATTCCAAAATGAATATCCGAAATAACTGCGAACTTTCTGTGTTTAATAGTTTTCAATTTCTTATTTGTTCTTAAGTAGTTATATGAAATTGTTATTGAGTATCATGAAAGCATATTATATCATTAGTGACTTACATATCGGCTATGGACTGAGGTCTATAAAAGTGGAGAAAAGAAAATATTCCTTCACTTACGTTCCTAACAGGTTTCCAGCAAGGATTTTAGGAAACGATAATATATCTTCTTTTTTGAAATATATTTTTGAGTAGAAAATACTACATTGTCAAATTTCAACGCGATGTGAACGTGTCTCGAAGAAAGGTTAAATGGCTTCAAAGAAGCCGAAGGTCAACAAATGATTAATACGCAACAAAGGCTATCTAACCTGTAACGGAAACAATTAAACGCATCGAAAACTGTTCATTAGGATATCAACATTCTCAAGAATGTATAAACTTTTAACTAAAATAACTTAACAAAACACACATTCGAGGTCCCATTATTGAAACGTACCTTCCTTAGTTTTCATACATGACATTTTCAAAAAAGAAATGCGTTACTAGGACAAGAGAGATTCGGTTTCGATTTTTGTTAATAATTCTTACACTAGTGAGAATTTTCCAGACAACATTAAAAATAACTTCAAAAGAGAATCTGATATAAATTCAATGAAGCAGTCGTACGAGGAATTACAAAAGCCCAGCATTCATTTGAGTTGTGGTGCTTATGGTATTTTTACTAGCCTATGATTCCTTCGTACTTGATCGTGTGATCATTACGAATTCCAATTCCAATACGTCTGGTTGTGCTCATCGAATTCTACCTACCATAAAATTGACTCTTGTGGGAATTTTCAGTCAGCACACTAAATTGAATGCTTCTGTTATTCGTATGGTCACGATTGGACTGTAGTTTTCATTTGATTAATCTGAAGTTGTCAAATAGCTTATGATTAGAGCATTGGTCAATCTATCCACACTCTAATGCACAGAAACCAAAATATAATTCTGCTTGTATATATGAAGTTTGAACACTGATATTTAAGTTACAGTCATCTGTGGTGGACCAAAATGTATGATAACCAAAAATTAGCAACAAAAATATTATGTCTATAGTTTATGTAACAATTAACAGTTAATAAGTTAATTACACACACAAATAACAAAATAAGGGACGTTACTTAAGTCTTCAGGCTATTGCGTGTTCGGCTGGGTTTGGTCCAAATAATCCACAATTATAAAAAATTAGTAATCCAAATATGGACGATATAGATCCAGTAGGTTTACCAAGCGTAGAATTCAATAAGAATGTCGCAGTTGTTTATAAACGTAGATGGTATGCAATTAATATTTCATTCAACATATTAGCAGACATGGCAGAACGATGCAGATGTGAATTAGAGTGTATTTATTGAGAAGCAGTAACAGTGTCACGATATGTTGTACTCAAAACGGAAGGAAGTCGAGTTACAAGCGTTCAAAGTAATACACTTAAACAACAAGTACAATTATTTAATGCTTAATGTACAGAATATGAAAATACATGCGAAAACTATGAAAAATTACTTACAAAATAGGTTTTAAGGTTCTATCTCCACATAGCTCCCCCCAGAGTGTCCGGAGGTAACACTGTTTACAATATGAAGAACAGAAATTGAGAAATATTGTATATAAATGTACATAAAATAGTATTTACTGTAATAACGGAAAAAAAATTGGAAATAGGAATAAATGGCACGTTAATAATATAGGCTATGCTACGCAAAATGAAACTGAAAAACGAGCATTAAAAAGCTTTGGTTTGCTAACAATAATAATAAAATGTGGAAAACTGTTAATAGAGTCATAAAATTAAAAAAAATGAATGAATTTAATAAATAGTTAGTTAGCATTCACTCGTTTATTACTATGACAATTTTTCTTATTAAAAAAAAATTGGCAAAACCAGTGATAACAAATAAATGTAGTTATTAAATGTACATGTAGGGAAAATAAATATCTTTTATTAGAAGATTGCGTAACTTCACAAAGTAATGCATACAACTGATTGATTGTGTTAGTCCATAAAATGTACATAACGTTTTGGGTTTTTTAATAAGTCTCCCAGATCGTGTTAAACAAGAGGGTGTAGTGCTGAGTTTTTCCTCTTCCTCTTGTTTCTTCGCAATTGATGGGAGTGATTGTTTGTTCGCCGTATTGTCATCAGTGGCTTGAGGGGGTTCGTAGAAAGCTGGTTTTATTCGGTCTATGGAAATTGTTTCATTGTTCCCGTTTTTGTTGATAATGAAATATTTGCAAGTGCGTTTTATTACTTTATACGGACCTTCATATGGTGGTGTCAGTGGCTTTTTCACCGCGTCTACTCGAACAAAAACAAATTTGCACGTTTCTAAATGCTTGTCGAGATGGACTGGATTGTTGTATTCTCGCGGTGGTATTGCTCTAATGTTCTGCATCACTTATAATAGGCAACTTGCGAAATGAGTAGCATCTTCTTGCGTTGTAGGTTCACAGTTGACTAGTTGGCCCGGTAACGTTAGAGTTGTACCATAGACTAACTCGGCGGGTGTACAACCTATGTCTTCCTTCACCGTGGCATGAATCCCAAGGAGAACAAGCGGCAAGGCATCACTCCATTTTGTTGAATCAGTTTGAGCCATGAGTGAGCTTTTTAATTGCCGGTAAAATCTTTCAACCATGCCGTTTGCTGCTGGGTGGTAAGCTGTGGTTCTGATGTGTTTTACGCCCAGAAGTCTTGTGAATTCCTGAAACAGGATAGACTGGAACTGGGGACCACGATCAGTTGTGATGGTTATCGGTACACCGTAGTGCGATATCCATCGGTCTAGAAAAACGGATGCTACAGTCTCAGCTGATGTGTCTTTGATGGGGCATGCAATGGCCCATCGAGTGAATCTGTCTATTGCCGTGAGGATGTGAGTAAAAGAATTTGACGAAGGTAGAGGTCCTACTAAATCTAAATGGATATGCTGAAAACGTCTATCAGGAATAGGAAATTCTCCGATTGGGCTAATAGTATGCTTTTGGATCTTACTACGTTGACACTGAAGGCAACCACGTGTCCATCGTTTAATATCTGAATTGATTTTCGGCCAAACAAAACGTTCAGTTATCAGCTTTGTAGTAGCTCGGATGCCCGGATGTGATAAACCATGCAAGTGTTGGAATAACTTTTGGCGACATGCAAGTGGAACAAAGGGACGATTATTACCTGTTGATGTGTCACAGATGATGGATGCGTCGGAGAATGGGATGGGTACAGGTTGGAGATTCAGGCGAGACTTTTCTTTGCAGGTTTTTAACTCTGCATCGTCTGCTTGAAGTTTTGCGATTATTTCTAGGTTGACGTCATGGTTGGATGCAACTACATTGATGTCTTTTCTCGACAACGCATCTGCTACAATGTTGGAGTGACCTTTGATAAACTGAATGTCTGTGGTGAATTGTGAGATGTAATCAAGCTGTCTTGCTTCGCGTGGTGAATGTCTGTCATACGACATACTAAAGGAGTAGCACAGGGGTTTGTGATCCGTCATGATGGTAAAATCCCGGCCCTGTAGCAAAAAATTGAAGTGTTTAACGGCTAAATACATGGCTAAGAGTTCACGACCGAATGTACTATAACGCTCTTGTACAGGTGATAACCTTTTAGAGAAGAAAGCAATGGGTGTAATCGTATTGTTTACTCGTTGTTGTAATACTGCTCCTACGGCTTTTTGTGATGCGTCCGTACAGAGGATCAGATGAGTTTTGGGGTCAGTATTTAGATGTTGTAGCATGGTGGCGTCAGCAATCAAAGATTTGGCTTTTTCAAATGCCGTTTTGGCATCGGAAGGTAACTTGAATGGTTGATTCTTTTCCTTTTTGCTACCTGATTTATCGTTTTTTAGTAAGTCAGTTAACGGTTGTAGAACGTCGGCACAGTTAGGTAAAAATCGACGGTAAAAATTGAATGCACCCAGGAAGCGACGTAATGACTTAACCGAAGTGGGTTCAGGATAGTTGATGACGGCTTCAACTCTCTTTGGTAGAGGTTTAATACCTTGTGCATCAATATAGTGTCCTAAGAATTCTAAGGCAGAAGTACCGAATATGCATTTAGTAGGGTTGATAACTACGCCATATTTCTTGAATCGTTCAAAGAGAATCTGCAGATGATGGACATGCTCTTCAAGTGAGGAGCTGGCAATTAGGACGTCATCGATGTAAACAAATACGAAATCTAAACCTAGCGTGACTTCGTCCATAAATCGTTGGAATGTTTGGGCAGCATTCTTAAGCCCAAATGGCATCCTCAAGAATTCAAACAACCCAAAAGGTGTGATTACAGCTGTTTTTTCAATATCCTCAGGTGCCACTGGGATCTGATGATAAGCTCTAACTAAGTCTAGTTTTGAAAAGATCAGTTTACCGTGCAGGTTTAGTGAAAAATCATGTAGATGAGGAATAGGGTATCTGTCTGGAACTGTCTGATTATTCAGACGCCTATAATCTCCACAAGGGCGCCAATCTTGATCTTTTTTGGGAACCATGTGCAGTGGCGAGGCCCAAGGGCTATTAGACTGTCGGATTATCCCTAGTTGCATCATATGTTCAAATTCTCTTTTAGCGGACTGCAACTTATTGGGTGGTAGTCTCCTCGCCTTGGCGCAGATAGGTGGACCAGTTGTAGCGATAGTATGTTGAACATGGTGTGTGGAGTTTTCAGTTTGATAATCGGCTTTTGTTATACATTCATACTTCGATAGAAGATCGGCAAAAGTTTGACTATCAGGTCTAAGCAATCGGACACCATAAGTTTCATAATTGCAGGTGATTGTTCCGTTGACCTGTAGACTTGTATTCACGTCGACAAGTTTCTTTTTTCTCATGTCGACAAGGAGATTGTAGTTACTAAGAAAATCGGCTCCAAGGATGGGTTGTTTAACTTCAGCGACGATGAAAACCCATGTAAAACGTCTACGGAGACCGATGTCTAAGATGAGTGATTGCTCGCCATACGTTTTAATAATAGAATTGTTTGCTGCCACTAATGATAATTTAGCGTGTTGGGAGTGCCGTCGTCGGGATAGATGAAGTGGGAGTATGCTTATTTCGGCTCCAGTATCGATTAGAAAATCCGAGCCCGAAATACGATCCCTGACATGAAATAGACGGCTTGAGTTGTGGCCAGAGTCAGGCGACGCCATTACTGCCTGGTCGGACCGTTTCCCTGGTTATCAGTGCTGGGTAAGGGGAATGCACACGGGCGTGTACAACGCCGTGCTTTTGTGCCGAATTTAGTATGATACCAACAAATTTCGGATGGTCGTTTAGGTGAACGAGATCGTGGTCTAGAACGTGATCTCTGTCTAAAAGGGGGTCCTATTTGTCTGGCCTGAACCGTTGCTACGGTGGTTTGAAGGGACTCAAGTTGATTCGTCAATTGAGATAATTGTCTTTGAATAGAGTTTAAGTAACTGACATCAGCTGCTCCATACGGCTGCATCGTATTTATATAGTGATTATCATGACAGACTTCCATTACCTTATCCGCCATATCACTAAGCTTAGGTGGAGAAAACATTAGGTTAAAAATGAGCTAGAGTATCGTGTAATGAGCGAATGAACAATATAACAATGGTATAAATGCGAGATAATAAAATACTGGGCTCACCAAATAATTGTGGTGGACCAAAATGTATGATAACCAAAAATTAGCAACAAAAATATTATGTCTATAGTTTATGTAACAATTAACAGTTAATAAGTTAATTACACACACAAATAACAAAATAAGGGACGTTACTTAAGTCTTCAGGCTATTGCGTGTTCGGCTGGGTTTGGTCCAAATAATCCACAATTATAAAAAATTAGTAATCCAAATATGGACGATATAGATCCAGTAGGTTTACCAAGCGTAGAATTCAATAAGAATGTCGCAGTTGTTTATAAACGTAGATGGTATGCAATTAATATTTCATTCAACATATTAGCAGACATGGCAGAACGATGCAGATGTGAATTAGAGTGTATTTATTGAGAAGCAGTAACAGTGTCACGATATGTTGTACTCAAAACGGAAGGAAGTCGAGTTACAAGCGTTCAAAGTAATACACTTAAACAACAAGTACAATTATTTAATGCTTAATGTACAGAATATGAAAATACATGCGAAAACTATGAAAAATTACTTACAAAATAGGTTTTAAGGTTCTATCTCCACACATCATAACATTCAACTGGATCCTGAATAAAGTAATTCGAGTAATAATAAAATGAAATTAGCTCACTTGTCTGACGTTCCATTATTTATTTCCCTTTAAACAAATACACGAAAATAAACTGCCTTTACCCATTATGGAAAGAAAACTGAACACTTGAAAACAGTCGAGTGATTGAAGCTAGAAGGACCTTATGACTAATTTGAACACACCCTTCATTTTTACGTTGTGATAAGAATTTCTCATGTGATATCTCTTGTCGTCCTCAATTTCTGCATTTATCCTCCATTAAGTATTTAGATATATGAACCACTCTCTTAATATATCACACTCGGTAGACAGAATTAATAGGGTCACCGATTTCTGACAATAATTCGGAATCACTTCCACATTTCAATGCACAGAACACATTACACACACACACTCATCTACACATGGAGGTCAAACACTGACTGATAAATTAAAATGAATAAACCATTCAAGTAAATAGTGGACAACACAGTTCAAGAAATTACATAATGTCACAAATTGATCAATTCCAGTCTGAATTTATATAGGCAAGAAAACAAGCTCTCTTTATATACGATTAAAGTGTATTAATTGTGAAAACTCAGCTTTCACATTTAATTTGTGTTGTGACGAATATTTCGTCAAGAAAACATAAATGAACAATGTTTTGTATTGATTTGATGATAAAATAGTATATTCCAGTTTGATTTGGTTTGACTTTGTAAATATCACCGTCCTCCTTAATTTATACATGTTCCGATGACGAATGTCTAAATCAACTCACACCACACAACTTCTATTGTCGGTGGATTTCAGATTATTTTCATGTTTATTATCAATTCCTGTGTTTCAAGTAGCTAAATAAGTGAGGATTATAGTTCGGGATGAAGGTTCCACTCATTGTGTTGCTGCAGCCGGAACTTAGTGTTTCTCAGTGCTATTCTATGACAGAGAGAGCATATCGTACAGACTTAATAAACGTTAAACGTATGGGATAAAAAGAATAAATGGAAGACAACTGTCAGTCCACTCACTTTGGCGTTATAGGTTTGTAGATTTCTCTAAATAATAGAAATGAGATTGAATTTCCTCATCGTATAAAGGGTAATATATTTGATAGTGCCTAAATTACAATGAGTCTACTACTGATATTTGTACTACATAAGGAATCATTAATTCTGACCATGTTGTCTGATACTGTATTGTCATTGGTGTTCCATTCATGTAACACTTCATGGGTTTTATCACGAATCTCTCTGCATCAAATAATACATAGTTTATTTGATTTTCAGTAGATTGTAATGACTTTTCTAAATAACTTGCTGAAGAATTTGTGTTTTAGATTTACTATTGAAAGCTATTATAGAATGTTTTTTGATGAATTCTCACTAATTCAAACGAGTAGTTTATTTGGTTGATTGCATCTGATGGGATGAAGTGCATCTTCTATAATTTTATTAGCCTTTCTGGAATATCTGATTATTATTGAGGTTGGGTGTATGGAGACTTTTTTCATTCAGTATACCATCTTGTGAATTATCTGATCGTTTTTTTCGATTAAGTTTTCAGTTGTGGGTAAATTAAAGCTTTTGGATCATCTTTATTATGTTTCACTATTTAGAAACTGTGTAAATCATTGAAGTGTTTGGTAGTTTTCTATGTGCATTATCAGTGATATTGTACATGATATTTGATTCAAGATTTTGTTTAGATTTACCATATTTTATTGGTTTATTTTGGTATACAAGTACATCACATTGTATTTTGTAAACTTTATCAGTGATGTGTGACACAATTAATATAGGATGACGACAACCAGGAAAGAGAACTACAAATTTGTGGTTCTATTCATACCACTTGATTTCCGTCGACTATTCTTTGCAAATATTGATAATTTTCCTTGATAATTTTCCCAAATGCTTTCCCGTGATGATGATGATTACATTATGTATATGAGGAAGGAAAATAATCGTTGTCTGTTGTGCACTATGTCAGGTTTTGTTTGATGTTGTTATGCTTTATAGTTCAACAACTAAAGTTGTCAAATGACAATCTAGATCATTTAAATGACATTATTTGGGGATGTTATATGAGTTCCTATAATTGATTTGAAAGTTAGAACATTACAAGTGAGGAAATAGATTTTATCTTTCTAACAAAGATTGACGAATCTAATTCGTTAACTCTCAGTGTACCCTATTTTATACAACGAATTCATTGAATATAAGAATAGACAATGAGGAATTTATTCACTTCTGTACAAGATGGTCATCATTATCTCTGAACAGTGCACATAAGATGAATTAGTTTAATATGAGTAAGCGAGATCATTATGAATAGATGGTAATCTCAGAATTCAATTGATCCAAATTGATAAAAATGTGGATAAGACATACAAACAAAAATAGAAATTGAACACCAACCGATAAATTATGATGAGCAAATTAGAAGAATAAATTTGTAACACTTAATTAAACAACGAACAAATCAATACGATAAATGACAACAGACGATTGACTCACTTCTGAGTAGGATGTTTATCCTTCTTACTGTATAAGAGAAATAAGATAAATTACTTGTCGTCAAACAGTTGAGAGTTATTTTGAAAAGGTACTCTAATTATTACTTTTTATGATTCTTTTAATGTTTAAATTCTGATGAGATTTTATCTAACCGACTCTGTTTGTGCTTGATAAGAAGTCTTGTTTGACGTTTTAATTATACATCTACCAACATATGTACAAGTTTAGTGACCATGTGTCTATTCCGTTCGATGTTTTAATAGTGAAACGTGATCTGTAAGAATAGGGAAATATCTTGATTTATTATTATTGCATTGTATGTGCCTCTGATTCATTTATCCTTTATGTTCGTAACACTGAGTGACTAATGCCAAATTTAGGTTTAGGATAGTATGTGAATGTGACAAAGTGATTGATGAAGAAATTAATTTTCATCAACTGAGTTAGTTTGGACATATTTTACGAATGCTCAGCCATCAATAACCTGGACAATGTACGCTGTCTGGTTTAGAAGTAGACAAGAAGAAAGCAAGGGACTGTCTAAATAAGATATGGAATCACTCCATGAAGTAATCAGCTGTTGGATTGAAGAGTATCGGTAGATGTAAAATACCTGGATGTGTTTCACGCATTGATTACAACCATAGGTTTGAAAAGATCACTTGATATGTCTCATAATCATTTTCACTGGTGGAGATGTATTCAATTTCTGTCCTCTCTCAAATTATGAGTTACAATAACACCTTACACTTGTTTTCAAATACTTTCTTTGTTGTCAGATCTTTGTTGTCCACACCTAATCTTTTGTATTACTACTTCTACGGATAACTTTATTACTTCTGCGATTTTTGAATTGGTTTTCATAATATTAATTTTCTGTGACGAAATAATGAGGTAACTTTAGTCGATTCACAAATACGTCATGATCTAAATTGCATATGACTGACTGATTTGTTTTAATATTCGTTCTTTTATTCAGTGTTCAGCTTTATGCTTAAATGATTGTTTAGTATCTATTCGTCTCCGGATTTGTCAAACGCTACATTCGTGAGTATTTGGTAGTTTTATGATGTTTGGTTGTACGGAATTTGCTGAAATAATCTGTTCGCATGTGGCTTCTATAGAATTTTAAGGGAATTCTGAAATTTTCAGTCATTATAGGTTTTGCCAATTTATACTAAACATTTTAACAAACAAATGCTCACATACTTTTCAATTATGCGGATATCGACGTTTCTGGAATTTTTCACAAATATCTTATTATGAGTAGAAACGATGGTGGCTTGCAGTGGGATTGAAAATCCGCATTTCAGAAATACTAAATAATTTCACCGAAATGATAATGAAAGCAATTATAATGTAAATTAAAACGTTATCCCTGTGAGAAAATGCTAAAATTTGTAAGATTTGTGTTGAATATTGTGACTTGGACCCAGTTCCGTTCGCTTCAAATTTCAGCACGTGCATCCAACTGACAAATCTAAAATGAGATGAAACGCACAACCTGGATTCCACTTCTAGCCACTATCATCTCTGCTTATAATGCTTGTGACTTAAAGCGATATTGAGGCAATCCGCACAGAATGCACGTATGTCAATAAGTGATTGATCAATTACAGTTCTAAACATTAATTGGAAGATTTACGCAACGAATGCAAAAATGAATTATCACAAAGAAATATTGAGTCAGTTTGCCGTTTCTGTTTCAGTCTATTTAAATGCTTCTTTGATTTTTCTAATCCTTATTTGTTAAGTATTTTGTTGATTACACCGTTTTGCAATAAACACTGACGTTGATCCCAGACCACATTTAGGAATTTTTCAAAACAACTTATTTATATAATTACATCTGCGCTTTCAATTTAACTAAATTCTAGTTTAAATTCACTTAGTATTGTTTGTTTGAATCTTCTCATTGATGTTTTAGGACTGCAACTGGTCAGTCTCTAATTGGCATATGTGCATACTGTGCGTATTGTCTCTTAGTTTAATCTAAAAGCAATCAGTCTTTCGGAAGGTTTCTTTCTTCACAATATTTTACCGAGTAACCAATGGTTCTTTCATCTATCAAAAGCGTAGGCAGTATATTTAAATTTTAAAACGTTTTTTCTCATTAGAACCCACATTTTTTTCTGAATTTACATTTAGTGTAAAGGAACTTTTATGGCGAAACTATAATTTATAGACGAACCAATCATATTTAAGATAATAGGTTTCGGATTTTGGATTGAAATTCCTTCACCCATTTGTCTAAATACACTTTTGGCATTTTAGATTATGTCAGTTCGTGATAAAAACCATAAATGTAATTCCTAACTCTATTCATCAATCGTAAACCATAATCCTTATTTTTCGCACTGCTTTATAACCCTCATTTAGCTCCAATAAATAGGTGAATATTCTGACTGTCACTTTAGCGTTGCTCAAAGGTTGTTCATAAATTATAGTCTCAGCACTTTTATTTGTCAATACAAACTATAATGAATGTTTAACAGTTTTTTTTATCAGATTTTCTTTAGTTTATCCAACCCAAAAATGAGTTGAAATTAAACATATTGCATTATTCAGCATATAGTTTCCAGTATTTTTACATGTCAAGCTATTACTTACTTACCTACTTAGTTAGTTAGTTACTGCCGGTCTTAAGCCCGTGTCAAGGAGAAGGTTTGGGCATGGGTTTAACGACCACATCCCGTAGAAAACTAACCCTCTCAATAAACGCTAACCATAAAATGTCAAGCTATAGCTCTCTGTTATTATCTTATAGTTTACCCTATCATTTATTTTAACAGATAAAGAGAAATATGACTGTTGTTAAAAATTTCCTATATACTATTATGGATGCGCACTGCTGAGGAGTCATTTTTCAAAGATAATAATAGATTTAAAATGAGCTATTACAAACTGAGTTATATCACACATGCAATACTTATGTCAGATCACTATGACTGTTAATATTCATCATTCAGGTTATTGTTTTAATGATCGCATTGATTCTGTTTAATTATGTGATTGTGTAGTTTTAATAAAATATATCTCGATAAAATTATGTCGATATATAGCTTATTAAGGATAATTACTGATTATGTAATCATATAAACATCCATTCTAATATCAGAAGGAGTTTTGTAGAGATTTCAGTATTTGCATAGTTGAAATCATGAGTCGATTGAAACTAGATCACCATGGAAAATCTGGAAGCACTGGACGGCCGTTTCGTCCAATTGTGGGACTCCTCAGAAGTGCGCATCTATGATTCCGCCTCGCAAGATTCGAACCCAGGACCTACCTCATGATTTCAACTATGCAAATACTGAAATCTCCACAATACCCCTTCTGATAATAATAATCATATGCTCACTAGTGACTGACTTCAAGAGATATCTCCTTGAGTTCTAGTGAGAAGCAGTGACCAGTGGAGTTCGACCAAGTCTGTTGTAGAGATATCAACTCACTGAAGACAATTGGTGAACGGTTGCTCAAACATCGTGGTTCAGTTGAAGTTGGACATTAACACTGTTGTATGCCGGCTTAGTGGTCTATCTATTGAGTGCTCTTGCGCGAGACTGGTAGGTTCTGGGTTGGAATCTCGCGAGGCGGGATCGTGGATGCGCACGGCTGGGGAGTCCCATAATAGGACGAAACGGCCTTTCAGTGCTTCTAGGCTTCCCATGGTGATCTAGCTTCAATTGACTCATGATTTCAACTATGCAAATTCATTCTAATAAACATCATCAATAGTTTATGATAATTTGTAGTGTTTGTATTATTGAAAACCAACATGTTCAATCACTAGCATTTTATCTCACTAACATCAATATGAAAACTGAACAGGGTATACTACTCAATCAAATTTGTTACCAAACATCATTTATATTAACCTACTGTACTGGTTATTCATAGAATAGTTGAATTTATTGTAAATACCACTAATTCATTTAAGCCTAGTTAACTAACCATTATGTGATTTCAACAATTAGGTATTCTGTGCTATTATTCACGCTGTTTAAAGATCCCTATTATATTAAAAGACTAATATTTGGACGAAGAATATTTGTTTCGATAAATTCTCTTCAGGTTCTACAATTATACAATCCAAATTAATAATCCGGAAAAAATGGACATGTTAAGAGCAAAGTACATCGTTTAAAGTGTGTAAATTTAGGATTGTCAAACCAAATAGAAGAAAGTTGTTAATGTTGATATGAATTATATAGAAAGTGAACTTGAATCTGTATATATGTTAGGTGAAAATTTAAGATCTGTGATCCGAGTAAATGTTGGTCGGGTAGGATGAGAGAGATGTAATAGTGCAATTAAAATTCGATCAAATGTTTGATAGAAGACTAAATTGTGTGAAAAATTAGTGAGACGTAATAAGGAGGGATCAATGCGATGTGAATGAATCATGTATAGGGGGGATTAATAATGATATTTAACCAATAATAATAATAATACAAAGATTTGTGAATAAAGATAAGAGAGACAATTACATTTGACTACGAAAGGTCGTAAGTACAATAGTCACATTAGGTCATTCAATAGCTAAGATTACTATTGATTAATTGGCCTTGTGGATTATTAATTTTAAATCAGAGGGGGTTTTGTGGAGAATTTAGTATTTTCACAGTTGAAATCATGAGTCAATTGAAGCTAGATCACCATCGAAAACCTGGAAGCACTGGACGGCCGTTTCGTCCTATTATGGGACTCCTCAGCAGTGCGCGGATGCGGGATCGTGGATGCGCACTGCTTAGGAGTCCCATAATAGGACGAAACGGCCGTCCAGTGCTTCCAGGTTTTCGATGGTGATCTAGCTTCAATTGACTCATGATTTCAACTGTGATTATTAATTTGGATATATAATTGTAGAACCTGAAGAGAGAATTTATCGAAAAGAATATTCTTCGTTCAAATATTAGTCTTTCATTATTCATACCTTTGATTATGTAGTTTCGGAACAATAACTAATCTTAAGTTGTTGTTTTTGTTTTGTTGCCTGTTTATAGTATGTTTAAGCAATACTCATTCATTCTCATAGGTGATTTTATTTTTGTTGTACTATAGATTTCACTCTGAACTTACAATAAAATCAAAATGTCTTTTCAATATGAGATTAGATTTATATAGAACCTGACAGAAATAGTGAAAATGATATTGATAAATTAGAGAAGTTATATGGTTGGGAACTATTTTTTTTTATAAATTATCTAATATATAAGAATATTCACTTGAATCGATCGTCAAGTCTTGAATAAAACAAAACAAAAAAATATGAATTATCACTATAACAATGAGATAAATATTATTGATTGTTTATAGAAGAAATGTAAACAAATAGAAATTGTTGAATTCATGAGTCGATCAAAGCTAGATCACCATGGAAAACCTGGAAGCACTACAAAACCGTTTCTTCCTAGTAATGCGATTTCTCAGCAGTGCGCATCGACGATCTGTCATGCAAGACCCGGAACTAGAACGTTCGGTCTCGCGCGCGGATGCTTAACCTCTAGATCACTGAACCGGTATCCAACGATGTTAATGTCTAACTTCAATCAGTGCACGAAATTTCGCTGTTCAGTGCTTGCAGGTTTTCCTTGATGATTTAGATTTAATCGATTCATGAATTTAACTATTAAATTACTATAATCTCTACAAAATCTCCTCTCTGAAAATAAATGTTTATCTTTTTATTTGTGACGGATTCAATGATAGTTTAGTTCACTGTATCATCGTTATGTTTCAGAGTTATTATCAAATACAACCAATTATTAAATAGGAATAATATATTTGTAAAATCTCAGCAAATGAATTTGAAGTAAATCTAACGTTTCGCCTAGAAACCTGATCCAAGGAATTAATTCCTTGAATATATATTATTACTATTTAATGTCTTACATCAACTCGGCGCTCAAATACTGTGAAACTATTCACTCTAAATTAGACGAAAGTTATATAGAACTAATAATTATTATGGTAATTGAAAAACCATTTTTCATTTGATTTTATAATGCATAACAGGTATCATTGATTTAATTAGAATGTACTAAATCTACCTACAATTAATTGAACGATAACTCAATAGTGATCAAATTATATTTGCTTAGTTCTTTTTAATATTGATCATATCCCTATAAACTATGATTGTTTACATTGTGGATATTCTTAAGAACACATTGTTAGCATATGCCTACGTTATTTCCCCCCCCCTAAATACTTACAATTTAGAGATAGACAGATTGACAAATTAACAATTAGAAATATTTGGTGTTTTTAGTCACTTATCTGACATTTATGACACAAACATATTACTGTAAAAGTCTACTTTATATGGACCGAATTAGAGATATTCGATATCTTGGTATTTACAAATAAATTTGAGTAGAGAAGATTCCCTTGTTGTTAGTGAATGGCTGATGTATAAGAGATGAGAGCATCTTATTTTATGAGCTGAAGTTATTTAATCATAACAGTTGTCGAAAAATAAGTGATTGATGGTCACAAATTGTTCAAGGGATTACAATAGATGTTATAGTCGGAATATAAAATGTCTTTGAACACAACTGCCTTAGAAAATGTACCAACCAACGAATCTCATAGCATATAGTAGATCTTCCATACCTTTTCTGATTGGTAACACTATTTCAGCAACAAACATAACATCAATCAGTGTTGACTAGATAACAATAAACAAGTTGATATCACTGTAACAGCAGTGTACGAAAAAGAATAATAGTAATACATCTATAACAATGTGATCTACTTGAGGCCCAAATATCCGACATTGGTTTCGATAGGTATTGAACCTTGGAACGGCAAACATTAGTAGCTTTTTCGTAGCTTTCCAGACCTGTGTAAACTATATGAGAACGTTGTGTAAATTATGCACATTCCTACAAACTATTGACCTGCATATTTGCAAAGATTGAAATCTCTGAAAGATTAAATGGCGACATGCAAGGTAATTCATATTTTACAGAGAAGTCAATTTACATGACACACATGAAGAGGTAAGCTTCAAATAATAACTACCTTTGAGCGCCTTCAGTATTTCCAGTGGTAATATCTCAGTGCATGAATGAAAACTGGTCGTTTCATGGATTCTATTCAAAAGATTGTTGTATATAATTCATATACTTGTAGGGTCACTGAATATCGAACAGATTATTAATCCCTGTCAAGGTCAAAGATAGTCAACGCGCATCAATCAATCATATGCCATGGACTGGCCCACGCGGCAGTGGTTGTTCTTTCACTTCTGTACTTTCGTGGTTGTACCTTAACTAATATATTCTTGTAATAACGTCCTTTGTGTTGTACAGTCTTCATAGAGTCCATGATCCTTTGATGCATCGATGGTTCAATCCACGTAAGGGCTGGTCGCGAGGTGTAACTTCAGCATTAGTTGGTTCGTCACCTTTCTCGTCTAACTATAGTAGGCCTCCAATCATTTCGTCATAGACCATCAACAAAGATGATCTTACATACTCATAGTCAGTGTAAAATCATCAACCAATTTCAGTCTGTGTTAAACACGAAAAGATAAATCTTCAATTCAAGTAAAATATTTTCTAAGCTTAGGAAACTTAATGATTATAACTCAAAGTGAAATTCTGAACTGTTAAGATTCAACGTAAATATGTAGTTTCAGGTAGCAGGATCAATTAACCAGAAATATCTACTGTTTACTTACATTAAACACAAAAAGAAAGATTTCATTTGATACAAAAAACCGATTCTGAATAAAACGAAAAACTTGGTCCAAACTGCAGAATTAGAATCAACAATAATTGGTAATGGAATGATAAAAAACTTACGGACTTCCGTTAGCAGTAGACCCTAATTTAAATCGAAATTAAATAATGTTCTGATGAAGAAAGTGTGTGGAAATATCATTCAAATATACAGACACTGGAATTACATTCACAGGTTATTCTATGAGCTAAACACACTAGACATTTTTTTATCAAATCCTCAAAAATACCATGTACATCTTTAATTTAATAGTTGGATTCATGGGTCGATTAAAGCTAGACCACCATAGAAAACCTGAAAGCACCGGTAAACTGTTTCTTCCTAGTATGGGACATCTGTAATTATTGATTACATCAGTTTCCTTAAACCTTTGAGTCATTTATTTTCCAGCATTACAAATATGACAATTAACTTTTCTGTTTCAGATATGTTTGAATTGAACCATTATAAATGCTAAGCATCTATAGGCTGTTAGAAAAAGCATACATTCTAAAGCAGTGGTAAATATTATTTAAAAAGAACTTAAATAGAAATACTGTAACCGTTGATATATTTCCTCCTTATCTATTCTTTAATAAAACAAGAGGCAATTAAATTGAAACCAATATATATTCAACATATGATAAATAGAGGAAATCGTAGCAGGTAGATTAGTAGAAAACTTCAACAAACTAGAACTGATGGTAAATAATTTTTCGAATATTCAGGACTTGAATCTCTGCTGTTGCATTACTACATAATTAATGTCACGAAGTTTTTATTATAGAGAAATTCATAGTAGTGAATGCAAACATTTACTATTATTATTACTACTGAATATTTAAGAACATTATCATGGTACATTATTAAATTCAGTGAATAATTGTAAATTCCTGCCTAGTATTCACATCTTCAGAATACTGAATCTCATTTATTCATCAAAAGAATTGTGAATTTATAAGGTAAACTTGTTCAGTTTAGTTATCAGTTAAAAACATGAAAATTCGTCCTCTTATGGGACGTCCTACTACGGCCGTCCAGTGCTTCTAGGTTTTCCATGGTGGTCTAGCTTCAATTGACTCATGATTTCAACTATGATAATACTGAAATCTCCACGAAACCCCTTCTCATTATTATTATTATTGAATATTTAGGGGCATTAACATGGTGCACTATTAAATTCAGTGAATAATTGTAAATTCCTGCCTAGTATTCACATCTTCAGAATACTGAATCTCATTTATTCATCAAAAGAATTGTGAATTTATAAGGTAAACTTGTTCAGTTTAGTTATCAGTTAGAAACATGAAAATTCTGAATTTCATTTAAGAAGAAATTGTCAGTGTATATTACTCATCCTACAATGAACAGTAATGACTAGAAATTCTATGATTCAACATGTTTTTAGTTGTTATTCAAATACTATATCAAGGTCTAAAAACGTTTCCAAAGATACACCACACACATAATATTTTAATTAACATCTACTTATGACTATTGATCACCAGTTTGTAAAATCGTTAATATCTACTTTTTGAAAACTATTTTTTCCCTTACAAATCATTCAGCTTAGTTACTACTTACCTTGTGAAATAATCAAACCCACAATACATAATATACCAATAAGGTAGATATTCATATTGTTGAATTTCAACTTCCGTCCTGTATAATGGGTAATTCAAGAAATAAACAACTTTAATATAGTTTTTTTTTAATTTTTAGAAATGATTGTGTACACTACATAACATTAAGTGTATTGTTGTTTGTTTTGTCTTTTTCAAATCAAATATCTTTTGTAAACATATGTAATTGTAAGATGATTATCGCGAATAAAATTGAAACCAAATGTAAAGGAAACGAGTATTACAGTTAATAATGACAAAAGTTACAAGTTTACATTATTGAAAAAGTAAAGAAAAGTATTGGTTAAACAAAACAACAACAACAAAAAATGTAAAACAAACAAACTCGAATGTTTAGAAATAGGATGATGAAATGATAGAAATGGACTAGATAATTCTATTTTCATTAAAACTTAGTTCATTTTATGCTTTAATTTAGACATCATTAAACTATCGCATAAATATAGAGATTGACTAGTGAATAGTATTAAATGTTAGGTTTGTTTAGTCTATAGTCCTAATCGACAACACATAAATATTAGTACAAGGAAGCACCAGATATATATGCGCAGCACAAATCTCATTTGATTTGTATGAGGGCTGTGATACTGCCCAGGTGCCCAAACTGAAACAGGATTTACAAATATAGGTAACATATACATCTACATTTCGTTAATATATCATTGTTTAGACGCTTGAGCTTAATTGATTATATTTAGTCGTTTAATATACTAGTGATAACATTTTATTTTATTGTGAAATTAACCTTTTGAGCGCGCCCTTATTAAAACATAACCGAGACAGAATAACATTGAATGATAATCAGTGATCGACTAATATACATAAACGTTTACAGGTAAAAAGCTTAGTTCCATAATCCACATCACAGAGTTGACTTACCTGACCCGGCAAATCAAATATTAAATAAATTTTCGGATCTTTCTGTTTTAATGCTGCAATAACTCAATGCTGCGGCAACGCATGTGCTGTGTTGATACACTTTATTGAGTTTATTAGAGCTAAGCAGGAATGACATTGTTAGCAACTTAGTGTAAGGATCTGAGTCCCACAACAGATCAGACGCAGTTTCACTACCTTAGAGATTGCATCTTCAACTGTGAAACTAGGTGTTGTGCTTTTAAAACAATCAGAGATCATCACATCTCACTAGATTGAGGATAAAACTTGATAACTAATGCCGAATAGCAAAAAAACAATATCTGGTAATTGCTTTCAATCAACTAACATTAAAACCTGTTAAGTTACTAGTGATAAGAGTGTTCATAATAATTTGTCATGAGTTTGTGACTGTATATAAAACATCACCATAAGGTTAAGAATAGTTAGCTAAAAACAAAAAACAGTGTTTTTTTTTAATTTGCATGGAACTTATTTAATCAACAGTCAATATTTAGCTTATCAAACGGTGCTAAGCTAGCTACGAAATCCTAGAGATAGGTGTTGGTATTTAAAGAAACACTTCCATCTCAGTGATATTCAAAAAATAAGGCCTTTTTCAAAGGTGGAATCGATACTTATTTTAATATGAATCGAATAGCTTAAAAATCGACCACAGACAAATAGTCATCTGCTTTTTCTTACCTCCCTCTATATTTTGAATACATTATTACTCTCTGTCTTTGATCACAGCTTAACATCATTCTTCCCGTTTACGTGTCAATACTTATGTACATAGATTTTAAAATTACTAATTGTCTAGCTTGCGTAAAATTCTACAAAATCTCATTTGGTCTATTGATGTTGCTTCTAGTTTACCTAAAGTTCAGAAAAGAAAGACAGCCACTGTTACTCATATCTTGTTTAGTTCACTTCATTACATGGTATTTAATACAGACATGTTAAATGAACATAATCGTATATTCATTTTGGAATATAAGTGACTGTCGAATCTGTAACTTCTGTTCTATTGGTTAATTTGTGCTCATTTGTATGATTAGTTTGAATGTCCAAATATCTATTTATCTATCTGTTGATCGTGTTCCTTTACTACGTTCATCTATAAATACTTGAGACATGTTGGTGACTAATTAACACTCTAAACACTTTGTATTTATTTCCATACAATGCAAGTAAGACCAGTCAAATCAGGTCTTAGATTTGTCACTAGAATACGATTACTGGATATTCTATTGCCAGTGTTATTTCTGTTCTAATACAATTGCTGATGATTCATGAGTGCTTGTGCTAATATATTACAAATGAACTATAAAGATGTTCAAATCTGGTAATTTCCGATACTACTATTATCCCAGTCTATTTATGTCCATTCAATCTAATTATGCTATAACCGTTTATTACCATTGTAATATGTCAGTAAGTTCAGTTACTGGAATATATATTCAAGAACATTTGTATTCTAGGTCTCACTTCATTTATTTGTCGTCGATCATCGATTATAAAGATAACAAACATAACGTACCATCAGGAAGCTCAGAATCGGTTCTTTGACAAAATAAACTGTATAAATTCAAATAGTAGATGGCTAATATATATCGTTAAACTGAGAAAAAAATTAATCTAAAGAGACTACAATTTACTGAAAGTCAATGTCTATTCGCTTCGGATTTACAGATGATGCATCATTACATCGTTTCTTTCGAGTCCATAGTTTTATTTTTATGAGGTCAATTCAAACCATTTCAGATAATCATTAACTTGTATCTAAGTAACACAACGTAACCATTGAAACTCAAAGCCATAGTTTTGCTACTACACTAATCCATGTTCCACAACCTTTTACTGCTGATGGTATTGAATTCCAACGTTTTATTACAAATTTTCATTTCGTTTAAGTCTTTGCTACATTATGCTAATGTGTTCATATTAACTTCTATCCTAATTCATTTCTATTAGTATGTTAAATTGTAATTAGAATTTTGGTCTTGAAATATTACATTACAAGCAATTAATATGAGCCTAAATAAATAAAATAAAAGTATTTCCACTAACTAATTATTTCTTTGTACTTAATTGTGCTCTTAGTTAAGAATTCTAAATGTAATCCATTCATTTGTCTTCATCTAGTTCTATCTGCTTTAAATAGCACTATCTTAGAAATTCTTAATTAGTACCTTGTTATACTTTACTAACTAATAAAAACAACTGTGTATGTAATTGCTATGTTTAAGCAGTCTATACTGTCTATTATCAATATAATGTTATACATATTTATATCTCACTCACTGAAAAACGTTTGTAATGATTAGTAGGGTAAATAACTTTCTTTTAATTTTAAATCTCACGCTACTATAATAAATTATCGACAGTTGAAATACAATAAAAGAAACATCTTAGTCCCACTGCCTCGCTCGTTGACCAAATAATATACATATTTAAAAATATTTTGCTTATTTTCATAGTTGAAATCATGAGTCAATTGAAGCCAGACCACTATCGAGAACCTGGAAGCACTGGACGGCCGTTTCGTACTATTATTGGACTCCTCAGCAGTGCGCATCCACGATCCCGCACTCGCGAGATTCGAACCCAGGACCTACCAGTCTCGCGCCAGAGCACTTAACTGATAGACCACTGAGCCGGCATCCGATGGTGTTAATGTCTAACTTCAACCAATCCACGAAGTTTGAGCAACCATTCACCAATTGTCTTCAGTGAGTTGATATCTCTACAACAGACTTGGTTGAACTCCACTGGTCACTGCTTCCCACTAAAACTTAAGGAAATATCCCTTGAAGTCAGTCACTAGTGAGCATATGATTATAGATCAGAAGGGGTTTTGTGGAGATTTCAGTATTTGCATAGTTGAAATCATGAGTCAATTGAAGCTAGACAACCACTTTGTTTAGTTTAAGGTTATTATATGCAATATTCGTTATCCTCCGGCTAATAACTTAATTAAATATGTAGATTTTAAAAATATTCACTGACCCAACAACTGAAGCTTTGAGGATGCTGTTTTGGATTCTGTGAAGGTGCCGTATCCGACTTTCCATGTCAAACTTAACATCTCCAACCAATGGTCAGGTGCTCACCACGAGACTTGAAGGTTTGGAACTGATTGAATGAAATAGTTGTCTAGCTCTTCTTAATTTTCAATTATGCCTTCAACTGGTATCAGTCAGTGACAACATCATCTACAAATTAAGTCACTCTTCACAAAATCAGTCCAATAAAACTAAAAGTAAGAAGTGGTAAAGGTGATTTCGATATATTAATTAGTCATTCCTAGTGCTGTCCAATACGTTCTCTGGTAGTTACAAGTGGACTATCAGGTGATTCATAATGAAGAGATTGAACACGCTTGGCGGTATACTGTATGAAGCGATTCGAAATCTGGTGCATGACTAGGAAGGCCGAGTTGAAAAGTCATGTCATTGATTCCCGCTCACATGTTATATGTTGTCGCGGATTCGTAATGTCGTTATTTATCGGCTAATCACAGCATTTTTCCATCGCATGTCAATTTTTGTAATATTTATGCTTGTTACATGGCGTTTATTGCAGTCTATTGGTTGCCTGACGTAATTGTCGCTCACAACCTGGGTGAATGTTTAGTCAGCCTAATTTGGTTATTTATAATAATGCAAACTCAGGCAAGTGAAATTCACCATTTATCAAGTCAAAAATAGACCGAAATTATAGTTTCAAGCAAAAACAAGCATTAAAATAATTTACATAAGACTCACCTCTCTTGTTATGGTAGTGATGAACATGGGTGTTTGTGGTTGTTTATAAATTGTAGATTGAAGCAATTGAGGGTCGAACTATTCATGAATATTGTAATGGTAATAAAAATCATTCTATGCGACGTTTCTAATGCGAGTTTGTTTTTCTATTGCAGGGCAACAAAGAGTAAACGCGCTGGAAAAAGAGGGAGAAGCCCTACGTGATCTGAACCAGCAGAACAATGAATAAAACTATTTTGTAGTAAGTTTCCCTTTTTGTACTCGAACCGTGTCTTTCAATTTTAAAAATATATCTGCTGTGCCAGTACACCGTGTTCTTACTTCAACGGCACTTACCGGTCCTGACTGTAGTGTTTTTGTTTCAGATCGCTCCTATGATAAGTATCATCGTTGTCAACTGGACTGATATGTTATTACGTAATGTGAGAAAGAAAAATTGTCAGTAACAATTGGCGTTGATAGATTTTTCTGCCCGCTTTCTGAACTTATACAGGAATTTTGTAAAACATTACTGTAAGTGCTACATAAGTTAGCCAAATACTCTTCTTAAGTAAAGTGATGCGTGTTTGTTATGAGCATGGTAACTAAGACATGTCGTAGATAATACTAGTTTATGATGTCTCGTATAGGGTTAAAATATAAATTTGTCAACAGAATCCGAAATCACTGACCAAATCATAAAAAAAGTTTTCATGCATGTTGACGAGTAATCTTTAAATAGTGCTTACCAGTTATTTCATTATTGTATGTAAACAGTGAACTGCTAACAGTATTATGAACTTTGTAAGTGGATTTTTCCCAAATTTCATATAACTAATTAAAGTTTGTGAGTCCCTTCATTTGGTGCCTGAAGTTTGTTTGTTAATACCAAATAACTAGATGGAATTCTAGGAAGGCTAGAAAATGAAGAGCACTGTTTACAGCAAGTAAGACACTTATATGTACATCCTATCAGTTGCTATTTCATTTACTTATTGAATTTGATACTAATAACGAGGTTTAATCGTGTGTTTCATGATTGATTTGTTGTTTTTCAGAATTGCATTGAGCAAGCTATCCATACATTTTCTGTTGTACAACTTATGACTTCTGTCAACCAATTGAAAGGCTCAAATCTTTGTAATAATCAAGTCTATGCAGGTGAACAACTTGGCGAATTTCTGAATATGGAAGTTTATGAGGAGAAATAATTTACACATTGACGATAACTTTGTTTTATATTGACTACTACCGCGTTTATTCATCTAATGAGTTATCTAAATATAATATAAATATAACAACTGTACAGTTTTTCGCATTATAAATATTGTATATGTATAGTCTACTTCGGTATAGACGTTGTCCGATAACGGTAAATTTATCGTTTGATTGCCTAGTCTGTAAGATCTTACGTGGAAATCGCATCACTATCTACAGACTCATCGTATCGTGACGACTAACAATAATACTTCTGAAGAACACAGTTACGCTTGGGATAGAATAATATATTTAATGCGAATATAAATAAGTTAAACATAATGAGCACGTCTGCAACAATGAGTTATGCCATTCGATTGAGTGAATGTCTCCACGTCCACCACTGCCGACCTTCTCCAAGTGTTACATGTCGAATAGACATCTTTTCAGTTATTATATGCTTGGCTCCGGAGACCATGTGATTAAGAAAAAATGCCACTCCAATTATTCATCCGAATATACTGGTCGTAAATAGGACTGCACGACGAGAAATGTTTGAGAAATTGCAATCTTACCTAGTTATTGATGAATTTTAAGTAATAATTGTTTACTTTCCTATCCAACATCATAGCGAAGTGTTCACCATATTTTTCAATTATCTGTTGTTTGAGGATTTTTTGGGTTCTTTGAATCCGGACATACCCCTTACTCCGTCTGGGTAATGTTGTTGTATTATAATGGAAGTTAAGTGTGTTATTTAACTTCCATCGCGTGCATAGTCTAAGAATGTGATGAGCTAATCAGTTTATTTATTTCGTAATTGATTATGCTTACCTGTAAGAGTTCGTCTTTTTACATATGCCAGTAGTAGGTGACGACAAGGATATCGACGAAACATAAATGTTCGACAATTGCACTCGCAAGTGTCTGCATCCAATTCATAATGCTTGTCACAGTCAATCATGAACAACCAGTCACCAATTTCGTATTCAATATTAACGAAACGCATTTTTTTCAGTTCCAACAAAACCTTCGTCCGTGCAAAAGGGTTAAGTAGGTTAATCAGCGAAAGCAATCGTCTTGAGGCACTGCGTGTATAGCATCTGCTGGCTATTATCGTTTCCTCAACAGTTCTCCTTGATGATGTTAGTGAATTCCACTTAAAAACCTTGTACATATACTTATGCAAGCTGTCGCTCTTGAGTATGTTTTTCTTCGGTTGACGATTTAATGACTCTACACGATTGTTGATGTTGTTATCGAGTGTCGAAACAGTTCCAGTGAACGCTGTGGCCCCCAAATTTTTACGAGGCATCCAGAATCTGTGACGATAATGACACAGGTCAAGTTACGAAGCAAAGAGCCGAATTGTACACTACAAAGAAGAGGAAGTTAAATGAACGCTTTTCGCATTAATTTTGCGAATTTACTACAGCAAAGTACGACGCAAATACGAGAAAATTTGATATTCGTGCAACCCAAGTGACAACAAACATACCCTCAACAACTCAAATACGGAACGACCGCCTCTTGTCAGGCCGTTCAAGGTCAGTTTCAGTTTGGAAAGGACAGGAGGCTTGATGGCCTGTGTTAGTCCTGGTAATGATGGTTTCTCAGCTGATCCAACTTTCTTTTGAAGGAGTCGATGGATGGAGCCTGAACCACGTGCTGAGGTAGTGAATTCCACTCGTTGATTATTCGATTGGAAAGTCGGTAGTCAGCTAACAAGTAGTTCGTTCTGGGCTTGTGAACTTTTTTGGAGTGTCCTCGTAGATTTTCTATTTTGGAAGACAAGAAAAATGAGGGCATATCAGGTGCAAATTTGTCATTAAGCAATTTGAAAACTGTAATCAAGTCACCTCTGATTCTTCTATATGACAGCGGGAATATGTTTAGCTTGGTCAGTCTAGTACCATACGGGAGCTTCGCTATTCCGGGAGTCAGCCTAGTTGCTGTTCTCTGAACCCTTTTCAAGAGTTCACTGTCTTTTTTTAGGCAGGGGCCAACTGCTTGTATGCAGTACTCAAGTTTAGGGCGTACGAACACTGTATACAAAGTCAGAAACGTTTTAGCGTCGAGATGCCTAAAAGCCCTGCGTATGAATCATAAAGTCCTAAAACCTTTGGCGGCTATTGCACGGCAGTGTGCAGTAGTCTTTAAGTCTTTACTGACGATGACTCGTAAGTCATTGTGTGCTTGGACAAGAGGTAACTCAGTGTTATTCATCGTGTATGTATCTGTACCCTGGTGGCCAATATGCATCACAATACACTTGGAAGTGTTTATCGGCAGTTGCCAGGTTTGGGACCATTCAGATAATCTCTCCAGGTCGTTTTGAAGTTCTAAGCTATCGCCCTTGCTTTGTATCACTCTCCATATCTTGACATCGTCAGCATAGAGTAAGACCGATGACGATAGTAGACGAGGGAGGTCATTTACGTACAGGAGGAATAACACTGGCCCCAAAACTGTACCCTGGGAGACTCCACTAAGCACAGTTTCCCAGCTAGACAACTTGGAGTTCACCCTTACTCTTTGTTGACGCCCAACTAGGAAGTCTTTTATCCACATCAATAGATTGCCTCCAATCCCGACATTCCTTAGCTTATATAATAGCCGGTTATGCGGAACATTGTCGAAAGTTTTGCTGAAATCGATGTAAGTTACGTCTATAGGTAACTTTTGGTCCTTAAGAGCGCACAAGCTTTCACGAGCGACTAATAAGTTTGTGAGACAAGAGTAACCTGTTCTAAAGCCATGCTGCTTTTCCGAGAGGGTCCGGTTTTTATCGATATGCTTTAACAGCTCCTTCCGAATAATCTTTTCTAAGATTTTAATAACCACACTAGTTAGGCTAATTGGTCGGTAATTCTCAGGCTTATGTTTTGTACCTGTTTTGAAGACTGGACTTACTATGGCGTTTTTCCAGTCTTTTGGTAGACGACCCTGGGTTACGGATAGATTAAAACATACATTTAAAGGGTTCGCAACAAAGTTAGCTAATTCCTTTGGTAACCTAGGATGCAGTTCATCGGGTTCAGTGGATTTACCTGTGTCAAGCTTAACTAGCAGACCAAAGACATCGAGTTCTTTAATGGTCACGCTGTCTAGTGCTTGTGTGAGGGGATTTTCATAGACTGGTGAGAAGGGTGTTTCTATGGTGTATACATTGCTAAAGTATTTAGAGAATACTTGAGCTTTGCCAAAGTCGTCCTCCACTAGTGATGAGGCAGTGCTGTCTCCCCATAGTGAAGGAACATTTCTTCTTCTTTTTGCCCTTTGGTTTATATACGAATACAAGCGTTTAGGGCATTCTATAGATTCCCTAACGATTTTCTCTTTGTACAGATTTCTGGCCTTACGGAGGGTCGAGGCACAGGTATTTCGAGCCTTTTGATACTGAGATTTTGCCTCGTCAGACCCCAGTAACCTAAATCTATCCCACATTTTCCTTCTTTTACGGAGAAGGATACGAACCTCCCTACTGAACCACGGTGGGGAGTTTCTCGGCCCTTTAGGTGTAGTCCAAGGGATGTGGGGGGCGGTAACTTTTAAGTATAAATTCCGGAATACGTCCCGAGCCGTTTCGATTGATGACTCTGGGTCTATTTTCCAATCTACTGATGATGCTGATTTCATGATGTCTGGTATGTTTGCTCTCCAGACGTTAGGTCTGGATTGAGCTTAGGAGTGCTCGTGATCGACAGTTATATGGAAGTCAAAGGTTAAAACTGCATGATCACTTTTGCCTAGGGGTGGCATGTAATTCAGGTTTGCAACATCATCCTCATAATGAGTCAATATAAGATCTAGTAAGGATGATGCAGAACCCGGGTCGTACCTAATTGCTTCCTTCACGTGTTGCACTAGGGCACATGTGATTACCGCATCAACTAGTTCCTCTTCGAAGGGATTTGCTGACGATTCAGTCCGCAGATTTCCCCAGTCCAACATGAGTGCATTAAAGTCCCCTAGGATTAGACATCGATCACTTCGTGATAAAGTGTTGAGACTGCTTAGCAGGACCTCGTTTACCTCACAGCTTGGAAACAGAGTGGCTTCGGCATCATTCTCTGTCGAAGCCTCACAACCCGAAAATTTTCAATTTTCAGGTCATTTTCGCCAGCGTCTAATCTGAGCTGTAGTTCTTTTTCGGCCTCCCGTCTTTTTACACGGTCCGCCAACGATAAGTCCTTACGGAGAAAAACTCTTGAACCCTTTAATTTGTGTCCATTATCTAAGATTAAGTCGCGTTCGTTTGGGGATTTGGAAACGACTTTGAGTAGTCTAGACTGATTTGGCTTCAGATGCGCTAGGTTTCCTAGTCTATACACCTTTAGCAAGGTGACTCCGGAGATGTTTTGGGGTATAACTTGGTTGAGTAGTTGTTTTATCAACACAATGTCATGCTCAAAACGAGCTTTCGGTTCTGAGCTATCACTCTCCTTGACTCTATGGAAAATGACTGATCTGTCGATGTGATCAGACCTCGCCTTTTCAACCCTTTTGGTGGGGGTAGGATTCCCTTTTACGTCATTTTGCCATTCTTTCCTTACGACCCGTATCCAATCGCCAACGTTCTTTGGAGTAGTATCCTCAGTCGCATCAGGCGTACTGTGGGATTCCGGAAGGTTCAGGACGACTTGGGAGGTTTGGTCATCTTTCGCACTGGAAACCGATCGAGCCTTGCGATTTTGGGTTCCGGAAGTTCCCTTCTGAGTACCATTTTTGATACGAGGGACAGAAGAGACTTTTTTTTCTCGAGTTTCTGGTTGTGACAGACCTCTTTGGAGGATGTCCTTCCTCCTTTGGACAGTGTGGATCAGCATTTTTGGGACTCACTTGGGCCTGTCTTATGTCAATCTGCGTGTCGACATATTGATTTCTGACCGATGTGTCCCGACCGCGCTTGCCGAGACACTTTTTCGCGGCATTTACCATTGAGATGACCTCGGTTAACAGGCTATTTGCATCCAAACAGCACTGTTGACATAGCCATATGCATCCATTTTTACTGAACCGCTTAAAAGCTGCATGCGTTAGATTCGTGCAAACTTCGTGGTACCAACCATTGCACTCATCGCACTGCATGCCGCTGTCAACGGGATATCGACATCCTGGGCGGTGGCAAATGCTTTTGTTGCATCTTCCAGTCATTTTAGGATGAGAAAGTGAGTTTTGACTAAAAGTAGAAAAAACTATAAATAGTTAGGACCAAAGTACTAACAGACACAATAGAAAAACAAGGTACTCTAAAGTACCGACAATAAAACTATTTACGATACCAAAAATGATACTCTAGTCAAATACTTTAACTGAAAGAAATTCAATCAAAGTATAAAACAGTGGTCTTGATACGTTAATAACGATCAAAACAATAGAATTTACTCAACGAGGAAAAATACCACTGTCCTTTTTAAATAGTCGCTAAAACGAAACTTCGGGTGGCTTTACCGTGACGACTAGGAAAGATATTAAAGATGGTAAATTCACAGCTTATTTTCTGAAGTCCATTGGCAAAGAAGCTTATAACCTTCTAAGGAATCTGGCTTTTCCATAGAAACCACTTTCATTGTCATATGAATCCCACAAGAAGTCACTATTTACTCATGTTGTAGCTTTGAGTGCAGAGCAAGTTTCATAAAATGACACAACGAAATGATCAGAAAGTTAATACACTTATACATGAACCACAGAAACAGGCAGCGTAGTGCGATTTCGGAGATCTATTAGTAACCCAACTTCGTCGTTAGTTGATTGCTGGTACAAATATTTCTAACTCACAAGCTCAAAAGTTCATTCCAAGGAATAAAAACAGCATATATTAACTATGAGGTCGTGAATGAGCTTGATTTTCAGTCAGTGAAAATTTATAATACTTCGTCGTCGTGAAGAACTAAACTACCAGGGTCTTGTGAAGATAGGACTATTAAATCTTCTTTGTAAACAATTTTTGATAGTTTTCGCATTTATTTTGTGTATTTTCACGTTTTGTACACATATCACTAAACAATTGTTTTTGTTGTTTAAGTGTATGAACACTTGTCAACTGGCTTCTGGTTTTGAATTCAAGATATCGCGACATTGTGACTGCTCCTCAATAAATACACTTTAATACACACCTTACTGATTCTTTTATGCATGTAGATGTCATAACTGAATTATTAATTGACTATCATCTATATTTATAGACTATTGATACATTCCCTTTACATTCTACGTTGACAGACATACTGGAGCCATATCTATCGCCTTGGGATTATTAATTATCTATAATTGTGGATCTTTGGGACCAAGCGCAACAGAACATGCGACAACAAGTAGCCAATCTAAGTAACATCCCTAAACTTTTATTTTTGTGTTAATTACTTATAAGTTGTTTATTGTTATATAAACTTTTGGACGTTATAACTTTGTTGCTATTTTTGGTCCGCCACAGTCTTTCAAACTTGTGTTTATTTAATAATGGTTTCTATTCTAATGGAAATGTGAAAAGTGACTTGTAGTGACCTACTTTTACGATGAGAACGTGATTGGTATAATGGAAACAATTATCATTATAACCAATTGTACCAGTGACTGTTTTACTTTACCTAGTTGTTTAAGTGTACAAAACACACGCATTCTTTGAACCTTGCACGAACTGACGTACGCTCAGGAGTTCTGCTTGTAAACTTTGGCAAGATCTTGGTATTTTTCCGATACCACGAGATCGCCAACAAATATACCTTATTACAACCATCAACTTCCTTCTGGTTTTTGGCCAACCTAATACCTGGCACATAATGTTTCTGCAGTGGTGATCATAATCAGTCGCTACTCGACGCCAACTACATCTAGTGACTCAAAATTGTGAGCACGTTTCAACCTCTGGAAAATCTCCCAAAGAAGACTATCGCGATGAGTCTATTATTTGACTATCTATCCACTTTTGTTGCACATTTTCGTATTGAGTTTTTTCAATATGTGATATTCCGGCAACAACTCCATATGGTGGATAACAATAAGAGTGAGACTAGTATAATAGACTCAGATGTACAGGCCATCAGTTTTCGACCTGTCTCCTTTACTCTCCACGATCCAGAAGTTTGGTTTGCGGCACTGAAATCTCAATTTGAGACCCGCTGCATAACGAATCAACGACAGAAATATGCTTACGCTCTGGAAACGCTACTAGGAGAATACATTGCTGCTGTTCGTGAAGTTGTCCTCAACCCGAAAGTACCAAACGTTTACGATCGTCTGAAGGAGGCGATTCTTAGACATTTCCTCCCTTCGACGGAGGAGCGATTGAGGATTTTATTAGCACGTCACCCCATGGGTGATGCTTAATCGAGTCATCATCTCACGCGCCTTCAGTCTTTCGCAGGACCGACGACAGCAGGTTCCGAAATCGTTAAAGAATTATTGCTCGAATCCCTACCAGCACATATACAAACAACCACTACGGCTCTGCTCGAGAACAACCTACTTATCTAGGTGGCCCTTATAGCAAATAACATACTGACAAGAACTAGCATCCGCGACAACTATATAGTTGCCTCATCATCACATTCGAACGTCGTTCTCGACGCTGGTCACCGTTTGGCTCATGGTGATAGAGATCACTGTATTCATACCGGTCTCAATTTTCGAAACCGATCCAATATACCCGAACTCTACGTCCCTCGAGCCAGGTCACGCACCCGCAAATCTGTAACTACTCACCCTAAGCAGGCATCTTCCAAGCCACGTCAAAAGGCGTTTTCGGAAGCCAGTTCTGGTTGGTGCTGGTTCCACCCTGCCCTCGGGGCCAGTGCCCACGATTGTTGAGCCCCCTGTTCATACAAGGCGGGAAACTCACGAGCCGGGGAGTAAATGTGACCATACTCTCCGGCCAATCACCTCAAGTTCGCCGTTTATTTTATGTGCAAGATTATCATACTAACGCTAGGTACCTAGTAGATACAGGTGTCCAAGTTTCTGTCGTACCTATTGGTAACAGTAAGTCTCAAGCTACGATGCTTCGACTACGCTCTGCGAATGGCTCAGTCATTCCTACATATGGTGCACGACAGCTTACGGTCAACCTGAGCAGCCGATAGTGTTATATCCTAGCAAAGACTTAAGTATGTTTCATTTCCGGGACTTATTAATGGAGGATTATTCCAGGTATATCCTTATTGTTTAACTTTTGAGTAATTAGATTGTGTATATCTATATTCATCTTATTATGAGGTTTATTTGTTTTGCATAAGGTTCTACAGATTCAACAGTTAAATGAACAGTCACAGTACCAGGTTTCAGACCAACAAGAACCATTCCACATGTTAAGTGAGTTCCATCCACATTAATACCGAATCGGTCAAGCCAATACTTTAAGCGAACCAAAGAGTTAGGTTCATGTGGATTCAAATGCCAACTATAGCGTAGTGGAGGATTGACAACGGCCATTCCCAAAGAAGAAACAATATTTGATATTGATTGGTCTTCAGAATAATAAGGACTGCATGCTGTACTTGAACCCATAACTGTGTTGAACTACAATCTCCAGAGCGTCCAGTAGGACATGCAAGAAGAAAATGTCGATCAGACCTATCTGAATTAGATAATTCTGGGAGATGACCATTGGAAGAATCAGAGATTTGAGGAGTAATTTCATCCAAGTTAGCAAGTGGGCATCTAATTCGTACACCAGACAACGCCACAATATGAATGTTACAAAATGTCTCTGAATAAATAACATAAACACCACGCTTTTCATCTAAACTTGAAGAAAGTTTATTCCCTGTCATGCCTACCAGCACGAATATTTGCCAAACCTAAGGATTCAGATGCACGTATTAAGACACTGGAAGGGTTTGTCTTCACAATAACTGTACGACTTAAGATAGATTCAGGAATAAATTCCAATTAAGTTTGACTAGGACCACCCACTGCATGGAGCTCGTATCCTGCTCTTAGAAAAAGAAGTTACATGGAGTCAAACGTAAGGGTGCAAAAACCTGAATCCGAACAGCGTTACTTTGAACAGTGGTCGGTTTACCATGTGATAAGCCGGGTATTATAGAAGTTACCATTAGTCTAGAAGTACCGAGAGCAATGCCTCGAACTGTAAATTGACCAGAAAAAGATTCTTTAGCATTTGACAAATCCAGAATGAATTTGAAGGGACATCATTTTCAGGTACGCAAAGTATTCTTTTTCAGCCACGTGATGATTCTTTATGACCAGTAGATGTTGAATGACTGATATGGTCACTGATGACTGACAACTTCAGTAAACCAGTAAACTTTGATGGTAATGTGATTCCACCTGTACTTGTAGCCTCCACAAAGGCAGTAACCTCATCATAAAGTTGTATTTGACTGTGAACTCGAAGATTACGGAGCCGAAACTTGAAGAACTACCACAACCATAGCTAAAAGGGTAAAAGTATTTCTAAACAATTGTCTACACATCATACTGAATGTCCGTTGGTCAGATACCATCAGCAACAACCTACTGTGGGAGAGAAGAGGTAGTTATTTGAAGAATAACTACTAATATCTCATGCTTTTATCTAAGTTTATTCTTTTGGACGTTTTCGAACAGGTTTATGTTGAAGTGGGTCAGTTTTAGTAGAAAATGTTATTACAAATATGCTAACAGAAACAGCTTTGTCTGTTGAAATGATCCACAAATTAATGGATGACATGAAGTCTTAGATGAATAACATTATGTTTTTTTGTTTAGAACATCAGTAACTGTGCTAAAAGATGGTACAATTCTTGGAAATTCAGATTTCGATGGTGAAACTAGTAGTCTCAAAAAAGGTTAGTGGGCTGACTAATTAGTATCGTCCCCCATTGTAAGTGCCTCTGAGAAGTTTCAGTTTAACACTTAATCGAACATTTTATGAAATCCGGTTTTCCTGTACCTGGGCGGTTTTATTTTTAAAACATTGTTGCTTTGCTGAATTACTTCCCCTGAGCGATCCTACGTGATAATAATAGGAGCAAAGTGAGTCGTCCTTCTTGTTACTTAGAAGCGGGTGATTGGAATCCTGAAATAACTGGTGAATGAAATACAAATTAATATCGCCAAACTGTTTTTGCCTCACAGAGTAGTGGACTCGCAAGAACGAAAAGCGTTCACATATTCTGAACCAACTTCTTACTTAATGTAATTTGATTGTATATCCGATCGAAGTCTGGGTAACCTAAGAAAACTCTCTGTCTTTACGGAAACAAGTGAACCAACAGGATAAGCTGAGGAAGGACGAATTAAAAACTAGAGACGTGTGATAGATATAACGGTCATGATATGGATACCATCCTAGTTAACGTTCATCATATAAATTAATAAACGTTTGAATACTAAGGAACAATCTGATATTTCTCTGCAAAGCAATAAATGGACTGTTATTCCTAACCTCCTGTCCAACTATGATCAATGACCCTGCCTATAGACTAAGAAACAATGCATATACACTATTTACCGAAAAACACCAAAAACAAATGCGTTGTAGGTTTTTTACAGTTCGGTATAGTTTATTGTGGAACAGGTTGCCAATACCTATCCGTAATTGTGACATCTTTACCAAATTTAAAAGGCTAATAACCCTGTTACTAAACTCTAAAGAACTTAAACTATCCCTTGAACTCCCGCCTACCAATGAGGCACTTTATTATGGACCGCCCAATATCTAGATGGAACAAGATTATAACGAACTCCATTGTCGTTAGTATGAATATAGCAAAACAAAAGAAAACATGCCTTATCCTTCCCCATTATTTATTGATTATTAACCATAGCCTTCCGCTCCTAACCCTCATTTTCAGTTTCCGAATCTCTCTAATGGATAAATCCAAATTATTCTTCCTAAGTGTCATGACCTTTTATTTTTCTTATTACAAGTAGACAGATAACTCACTAATCTCATGGATGCTGACCAACTAAGGCCGATCAAAAGAAGCTCAAATGTCCTAAATTCTTGTGAGTTGTTCAATGTTTTTTTCTTACCCTGAAAATTTTACAATATTTACTATCATATCCTCTGGTTTGCTATTAGCCCTTACCATCTCTTAACCATATATAATCTGATTTGTCTCTTCTAACCTTTACCATTAGTTGTCTTCATAGTAGTGCGATATATTAAATGGATATCTAATCCATAATACAAATGCTATTACCATCTGATTTGCTTGTAACATGGAACTTGTAGAGACAGTGTATTCCAAATATGGTCCTTGATAAAAGCAATATTCATACTGACCACAAACGCAAGAAAGCCTAACATCATAAAAGGAGGGAGGGTGGCGTTACTGACCAGCAAACATGATGGTGGGGAGATAACTTCAATCCACCCGTGTCTGTGGGGCAGAACATATTAATTACGGCTCCTTATGTCTAGTGGGATGTCACGAACCAACGGTATTGATGCGAAATTATTCATGCAAAATACCACTTTGAATCATGTTAAAAAAAGCTGAATTGGTTCCACTTCCTACCAAGTAATCCTATTACAAGCAAACTAGACAATTGGCTAAAAACGAAGCCCACTCTATACCCTATAAAATCTAAAAACAAAAAAGAGTTCAATCAGCTTCGAAAAAAGAGGGAGACAGCAATTTAAATCGGAATACTGTTTTCAGCACTTTATTTTATAATTACACAATTCCATACTTTCTTCTGAACTACCTTCATTTATACAGTTCCTTACCCACTCATACCTTGCCCACACTTATTTTTCTTTAACACACTAGTATGTTCTTACCTAATAAATACTTCAGTAACAGACAAATAGACTAAATGGTTATACATTAACTATTCCTCCATGAATATTGTGTGCTCTGCTTTTCATCCTTCCCTTTTCTTACACCTTTTTCAGCCTCCTGCAGATACTCCACCGAAAACAGATATGGCACGGGTGATTTCGTCCTACACCGTTAATAATGCTTCCGATATTCTGGAGGGATATAAGTTCGAAACTTCTAAAAGCCCCCAACTTCGCATGTATCTATTCTCGACCATCAGTTGTATGCTGCAACGCTACCTCCATAAAGTGCGCCAAGTGTGATATTGATATTGACATGTTTCTTATGAAATCCATTTACATTTATATCTTATGAAATATCAACCCAGCTGAGTAATTTTCAATAGTGAAAATTGTAACTTCTTTAACGATTTGACCTTGCCTGTAAACCGGCATGCCTCATGTAACAATCTGTTATTTGAGAATAAATTATTATTATTATTATTACTAAAGGTAATGAATTTTGAGTTAATTGCTTTCTTTCCAGTAAGGCACTTTCACCGACCACTTGAAATAGCAGTAAGTCATTCCCCAGTTCACTAATGTTAGCCTTTTACCCTTCATGTTCAAACTTTCGGTCAAACTAGCTATAGTGGGAAGTAAATTGTAGCAAGCCCACTCAACTACTGTATTTTTTTGTGTGCTCTCTGTAATCTTAACATTTAATCCACTTTGTAAATTTATGTGTGAGTCTGATTGAGCGCATATGTCTGCACATCAATCCTTAATCTGTTCTCTCATTGGTTGTAAACAAAGACAATCAATAATTTATCCACAATCCATTAACACTCAAATATATATATGGATTTTTAACACTCACACACACACACTCACTTGCTTTCCCTGTGTGCTTGCTATCTGTACGCTTGCGGATTTTATTGAGCTTCAACAATAAACTATCTCTATAACTGGTGTTCCGGCTTTTGAATAATCTCGAGTAAACCCGTAATTCTACTAGGAGATTTAGCCTGCAGTAAATATTCAGTTAGCGGGATGTTATTTATTTATTGGAGTCAGATATAGAGGAATTAATCCTCTACAAATTCATATGCAACACAAAAGGGTTCTGTGAAACAATCGACCTTACCCTTCAGTGTTTTAGGTTAAACATCTTGATATATTGGGCAAACAATATCGACTGTCCTACATCAGAATAATTTGATCCACATAAAGTAACCTAACCTTCAGTAATTAAAGGCATCACTTCAATTTTATTGTGATGGAAATAGTGTTCTAGTTAGTTCCACATTACATGCAATAATGAAGAGCTAACCTCCCCAAAAGTCATTTGATACTGAATACTATTCAAAAAAAGATTTCAATGTTTCTTTGAGATGGCCCCGTAAATTTTAATTTCAAGTGAAGGCACCCATAAACAATCTGGAGAGTTGTGAAGGCGTTCTATGTGCCTAAGACGCTGACGACACCCATATGATGGAAAGAGTGATGTGAACTATTGTGTAGATGATGGATTACCTATCTGATCGATATAACATATACGAACTGAGGCAAATGTAAGTGAAATTAGTGTGGACCGGTTATGGTAGCATCGTCAGGATACACTACCAGCATACTACAGAAAGTAGCTTGAACATTGGTGATTAGACCCAAGGTGCAGTGACGCAAACATACGATTGACTACTGAAGGACTGCATCATATACACAAATTACGATGCTTAAGATGGTTGGGGATGAAACTATTGTAAGCGCCTACACACGTTAGCAATACCAGTCTACCTTTCTGTACTTCTGCAAATATGATTCAAAGAAACAGTAAGTATTCGGTGAATGGTTTTCGTTGCATAAAATTTTCAACGCAATATGTAAAGCTGGTTCAAAGTTATTGTAAATCATGACCATAAAGTTGATATGACCGTTGTTCTTATAAGCAAGCACTTATCTGGATAAACCGGGAGAGTATCTGATTACTGATGAACTAATACTTGTAATGGGAATTACCTGTAAAAAAGCGTTGCTTTTGGAGTAGAAACTTTATTA